TCCATGAAAATGTGGAACGCTCCTGTTTAACCTATAAATTTGTTCAGTTACGTGAAAAATTAATGCAAAAGTAGGTCGTAATCGAACAACATACCAATGGACTACATTCTGCAAGGATAATCAGTTACGATGTTTTTAACGATCTGTAAATTCTCGCTTCAGCACACAAAGCCTTGTTTCCCAAAGCGCTGGATAATATTTAAAACAGAAGGCTAGTAGGAAAACGCTATACATATACATCGACTAGCCATGCGACGTCGTGGAAGCCCTATGAACAATACGCGATAACAGCATGACTTTGTTTTGCTGAGCACCTTGCTAACAAACGGCGTCACTAGCCAAGTAAGGCCGATAATTCCCCGATATTTTTTGCCTTAAGTTAACTACCATAACCTAACCTTCCGCACCTTTTTCATGCTGCCTTTTCTCATTTTTTGCACACATTGGAACATTGTTTTAGTTAAACATGACCGTCGGAAAATACACTAGACGTGGTGCAAACAATCCAAAATTATGGCCTGTTACGCACGAGTGGGTTACAGACCACGCGTAGGCACGAAGTCACCACCGGGGGCACGGTCTAAAAACCGGCATATGACACAGACAGACAAGTTCTCCGAAACGGCTTATCCGATCGCCTTGAAACCTTCACCATTCGATTACGTGTAATGAGATAAGTCACGGGGAGGCAATATTGAGTCCTGACCTGAGGTCAAACACCTCGAAAGCGCGAAGGGAAGATTTTGCATGCAAATGCAGACAACCCAAATATCAGGGCCTGCTGCACCGATCGCTGTAAAACTTTCACTACTGCATGCCCCATACCTGAATCCCTCTTGCAGTTCCAAATTTGGCGAACCTTGGTCAGGTCAAAAGTCGTCGAATTCAACGAAGTCCAAAATTCTTGCTGGCAGACAACTTATAGGTCAGAATCTGCCACGCTGATCACTGCCAAACCTTACCACCCAATACGCCATTTCCTCTTATTCTCTGTTGAAGTTGCAAGCATGGTGTCATTTATAACCCCGCGCTTTCCTTTACGATTGTTCCGAAGGAGACGTGCAACTTGGTCAGGCTGGCCCTATGAGATTGAAATTCTCCTTAGCGGAAGTGTTGTGCCGAAAATCACGCACTGAATTGTGCATGGTGTCGACACGATTAACAGAACAATGGCAGCGAACACGTGATGGTGCGTGGCTGATCATTGTGTGTGGTGTGCGAATACCGTTTTGTCGTGATTATGTACATGTCTCTTCAGCAATCTTCCGGTGGTTTCTGGTTTCAAGTCGTTCAAAAGTACGCCGAATCGAACTGAGCATAGACCGAGGTGGGCCGATTTGGTCAGTGTCCTATTGCAACAGACCAATGACCTAAGAATCCTCCTTGGGAACATGCTTTCTGCACTCTGTATATCGCTCGTCGCGGATGTACACGTCCCAGAAGCGAAAAGGGGTAAAATTGACGGAAAAGACGTCCCCGGTTTAGTCAACGGGAACCTTGAGCTCCACCGCGCCTATTGTGCGCCGCCGTGTCAACGCTTGATTCGACGATTACAGCCGTCTCAAATACACCGAATTAAATATACCTTGCACATTGTACTTTGTGTGTGTTTGCGTGCCTTTGCTCACCAAAAAAAGAAGACAACGCCATTGCATTAGCGCACATGTGTACAAATGTATCGCTGTAGCGTGCACAACCGCGAAAAAATGCCCGCGCGTTTCGGCACTACCAAAACAATTGCGTATGGCTTCATGGCACATTGCAGCTGTTAGGTGCGTCCCATCGAGAGGTAAATATTTGAAATGATCGGAGCAATCGTTCCTGAATGAGCAGTTTGCAGGCAATAATTTTGGACCTTGAGAAACTTGACGACTGTTGACCTGGCCTAGGGTTATCACAGTTGGAAATGTGAGCCCTGTAAGAGGGAATCAGTTGTGGGGCATCCTATGGTAAAGGTCTGGCAGTTATCAGTTTGGCAGGTTCTGAGCGATAAGTTGCCTGCGATCAAGAATATTGGACTTGATGAAATTTGACAACCTTTGACCCGAACCAGTCACCAATTCTAGAACTGCGAGGGAGAATCAGGTATGGGGCATCCGATAGTGAATATTTTTTAGCGATCGGTGCAGTAGGCTCTGAGATCCGAGTTGCCTGCATTTGCATGTAAAAAAATTTTCTCCGCGTTTTCGGGGTGTTTGACCTCAGGTCAGGTCTCGATGTCGCCTCCCCAATATTCACCTCATTGCACAGAATCGATTGAAGGTTTCAAGGCGACCGGAGGGGCCGTTTCGGAGCATATGCGTGTCTGCGTCATATGCCCGTTTTTGAGCCCTGCCACCACCAGGGCCGATTGGTCAAAAAGATCCGTGTAACATCGCCGGCTCTCAAACTGGAGAATGACCGCGCACAGTTTCGCAAAAGGAGTTGGGAGGAGGGGCGAACAGCAAAAAGACTTAACTCACCCTGAAAACACAAAAACGGGTTCCTGTCCGGATTGGAGACGCTCCTCGAAGCTGTGGGGTCCGGAAACCAAGTTGGTATGTGCGTGAGGGGGTGGGGCATGGGGGCGCTCAATAGGGATTCGCAAAATAATACATCCGAAAGTCCTTCAAACTACATTTGCACCGTTCAAAAGTTAAACTGGGGTGTATACTTTTACCTTTTTAAGACTGCCCGCTGCACAAATCAAGTTACTGCGACACCATAAATATTGTCAGTTCCGCCACCAGACTCCAGCACCACTCCGCGGTGCTCCGAAGGCTAGTCCGTTCTTACTACCGATCTGAAAATCGCACAGGTGAAATACACACCCAGATGACCTTCTAAATACATGACAAATTTATGTCCTTAAGGGCCCAAAGATACTTCTTCAGATGCGTCATCATTTCTGTCCGCCAGTGTGTCACCGCCGAAGGTCAGCCGTGGGCTCGGGGCGAGGCAGACGTCACGGGGCCAATGGAGAGTGCAGCGCCGAGTGTGGAGGTTTTTGTTGCTAAATTTGCAAGTGTGCATGTTCAAAACTACATGACACAATGTTTTATCACTTAATCACTTTGGTTGAATGCTTAACAGTTCTAAACAACACATGGGTGGCTACAGCACTGCAAATTTTTAACCTTTTTTAGTACGGGCTTTCAACATCACGAACCATTTATCAACCATTTCCCCCCCCCCCCCCGACCTCCACCCATTGTCGAAGCCCTGGCCGAACGACTGCAGTGCACGTGAATCAGAGCATTCATCTGATATGAAACACCACATTGCCCACCGTCACACCGCTTCCAGAAGAGGGCCAAATTCGGAGAGGAACCCCTTTAGTTGATTGCTCAATTCTAAATCCAATGAATTTTACGATCCTCAGTAAGCCATGCCTTATTTCCCCGAACTATATCATCACAATCACAACAGAAGGATATTAGCAGGAGGCCATACGTCAGCTAGCGTAGCCACGCCTGCAAATTACAATGACAATGACACGTGGGATTTTTTCGTTGTGCACCTTAATAACAAATGGCGTGGCTATCATACCGAGGCATACACTTTCCCGGCGTTCAATCCAATGTAGTGTTATGCTACCTAGAAACAGTTCACATGACCCAATCTATCCATTCCTACCGTAACGGGGGAAGGGGGGGGGGGGGGAGAGCGAACTTCTCCCTGTGCTCAGCTGACTAGTCCAACACTCAGCTGACTCGCCCGTCAATCACCGATCAGCGCCATCTTTCCGACGCTATGGCGTACTACGAACGTTGTCGCCGGTACAACGCTATCATTTTACTTTCAAGGGCGAAATACAAATACATGTCCAGACACAGATGTTTATTAGGCACCTCCATTCAATGGGCTTTATGGTGTTCATATCAATACATCACAAAACAATACCATGTCCAACATGTATTCACAGATAATAGTCAATACTCACAAATGATATAATTCCACTGTTCACAGGTGTTGGTTGGCCTATAGGTTATCATTTGAAAGGTGGAATCAGCCTCCAAGAATGCCAGAATGCTTCATATGGAGAAAAAAATTGATATGGCATACCACAAAGGCCACTGGAATGAATATCTTTCAATACAAGCTACTAAAATGTTGCTAATTGCAATGAAGCATGATCTGGCCAATGTTCTTGACAGACCAGCCAAAAACGATGAGCTGAATCCTTTCCCAAAGCCAAGAAAAGCATAGCGACTTAGAACGCGCAACACTGGGCATGGCTGATCTGTGCAACAGATGGCGGTTACACATCAGTGCCCATGCTACAAGCAAGCACTTCTGTTCCATTTAAGTTGTAGAGACCCGAGTATATGAACCACGCCCAAGGATCCATACACCAACATGACGAACGTCACCATCTCTCTGACACGCCGAAGTACACAATGGCCGTCGAGAATATCACAACACTACTTCTTTATTTTCGATAGCGCCACATTTGGCAAAGTGAATACAATCCAGCCAACGTGGTCTTAAATGGTTTTCTACAAGAGGCAAATGTTGGACATAGGATACTATGCAAAATTAACTAAAAAATGAATGTACCAGGGATATTAAATTTTACCTACCTGAGAGCTTCACCCGGCAAGATTTAATGGACGTTCACCCTTCGTGACCTTAGAGCATTAGTGTGGAGATGGATCAAGAGCCTTTTCGATTTACTTAGCAATACCGTGAAAGAGAACAGAAAAAGGTGGAGAATGCCAAATGTGATTTAGGGAATAAATGTTTCTTCCAAACATTTATACTCATTTAAACTAGCTATAAAGCTCCAATAGCTATGTTTTGCTTCTCCCGTCGTCTTTCCCATTGCAATACAACACATCACTGGGCTTCCATGTTCTGCCATTTCTAAACCCTGCCAATGAAATAATATATGAATGAATTATTATGAGTGTCCGCCAACAGTTAATAGCTTGTATCACTTTCACGGCATATGAGATGAGAATAACTCCAATAAAAACATTTACTAATTATTTCGACCATTATTGCATGCCCATCTCTGGCAAACGGAGAACAGCAAGATCGATAATGGCGGCATGTCATCATTGCTGTGCTGTATAAGTCGCAAAAGGTTAACCAACCATTACAACATCTAAGCGACATAAGAAACAAACTCAAGTAAGTTACATGTATCTGTCGCGATGTGGCAGATTGGTCTTGGTTGGGAGAGTTGAAGACGTGGGATGATGGTAGTTCGGTTGGCCGCATTCGTCTCATTTCATTGTGGAAATTTTCCGGTTTTCGCCATAGCAGGGCCGACAGTATTTGCTGGATGTTGTTCATTGCTTAGCATGTTAGCATTCATGAACATACACACATTTTAAGAAGAATTTAGCATCCTGGCTTTTTAGTTAATTTGTCAAAAATAATTGTTGATATTTCATGACTGACAGTGGTTGTGGATAGTTTTACTAATTTAACTTGAGAAACATTACATTATGGATATATTAACCTACTGGCATAGGCACTTCGGTTGTTTCATCATAGGGATGCTTCCACATGTGCTGCTGAGATCTTTGTAAAATGTTTATTTGTCTTTCAGTGGTTGGTATGATGGCAAGTATGTCTCAAAAAAAAAAAATGACAATCAGATACCAGGAATGTCTCTTTCAAATTAGCTCAGGGCTGGTGGAAAGTGGTGGGAACAGGTTCATGCAGCCAGATTCCTTTTCCTTAAGAGCTGATGCCTATTGCTGCATATTTTATTCCTAACCCAGGTGCCATTGCTTGAAAATGTGCTGGTAAGTGCAGGTCAACCTTGCATTTAAATTAGTTTGAATGCCAATATTATATAATATGGTTAAAGGATGCTATGGGGAATAAATCAAAATCATGTGTGGTTAAAGGATACTATGTGGTACAAAATTAACAATATTCCACAAAGGGAAAACTTAAGATAGATATGTAGTATACCACCAATGCAGAGGAATGTTCTGCATTGGTCTGCATTTCATTGGTCCAGTATTCCTTTTTGCTCATATTTATGTGGGGCAGGGGGCCAGGAACATTCGGGAGGGGAGGGCCCCTCTTCCTGGAGGGGGGCTCAGGGCTGACAATATATGAAGTGGCATCCCTGGTAGACATTCCAGAATTGAATTGATATACATTTGGAAAGAAGCAGTAGGTTTAACATAACAGGCCTAGGGAAGGGGGAGGAGGGAGAGATTCTCTATGTCTCTGTCTATGTTTGTCTCTGTCTCTTGCTGCACTTGCCTTGTCTTTCCCTGACACTTCCTGTGAGATGTTTGTCCTGTTCTTATATAATATTCACCTTTGCTCTCCATTGCTTCATTTTTAAAAAGTTCCTGTATGTTTGTACATTGTCTAACCTTTGCACTCATTCTATGCTATCTAGCTCTGATATATCTGTGTTGTTTTTGACATTTTATTTTCCACACATCTTATTCACCACAAAAGGCCTTATGACTGTCAAACTCAAGAAATATCCATGTTCAGGCATTCTTTCTGTTAAAACAAGCAGATCCCTGACTATCTTGTGGCTTTGCCAGGCCATGTTTGAAACATTTTCCCCCATTTCTTACTATCTTGGTAGGCTGCATCATATCACACCATTTGTTTGGTACATCTTCTTTATCTTTCCTTTTTTGTTGCCCAAATGAATTATGTAAGCTTGTGTTCATGAAAGGATATCCTTTTAGTTTTCTTCTTAGGTCTCCTTCATAGATGCATTTTTTCCACTGCCACTCAAATGTCTGTGGGTATATTCATTAATTTTTCTACACATGTGTTACATATTTCTTCGGACAGAAAGGGCACACCATGAATAGATGAAAGGTGCTATATTTAGAGAGAGAGAGAGAGAGAGAGAGAGAGAGAGAGAGAGAGAGAGAGAGAGAGAGAGAGAGAGAGAGAGAGAGAGAGAGAGAGAGGAGAGAGAGGAGAGAGAGGAGAGGGAGAGGGAGAGGGAGAGGGAGAGGGAGAGGAGAGGAGAGGGAGAGGGAGAGGGAGAGGGAGAGGGAGAGGGAGAGGGAGAGGGAGAGGAGGGAGAGAGTTGACCCTCTCCCCTCAAAGGCTTTTCTGGATTGACTTCCAAACAGTGCAGCAGAGCTATGCCAAATGTTTCATAGCTGTAGACAGTTGAATAGTGGATTATTTTGTGTAACAAATTAGATGTACCTTGTAAGGATGCTGATCTATGGCAGGTCAAAGTCAGGCCATGGTTTGAGCAAAGACAATTTCTAGGGAATTGTTCAATCTGATCTATGAGCAGAGTGTTATACAAAGCCATGCAGCCCTGAGATACTTCTTTAGGCAACACAGCGATTGAATGAACATATTGCATTGGCCTAAGGTCAGGTATGAAGGTCAGACCAAGGTAAAAATCAATCTGTTTTGTTACTCTACAGCCTGCTGTATGGGGTAGTTTCTGGTGCTCATTTGAAATTTATTGGTAACAGGGACCACATTATACATCTTCCATAGACTTCTAAAAGGTCAGAATAGCTCATTGATCTAGAATGATGTGGGTCAACAAGGAGCCCACCCCTCGCAGTGGCACACCATCGCCGAGAAGGCCAGTGGAGGCCCCCGCTGACCCCCAGACGCCCAGTAGAGGCCCGCCGATGGGCCCTCCCCCGCCGCCACCCCGGACCGGGTACGCTGGCGTCAAGCGTGCCCCGGCCGGTCCCCCGTCTCCATCTGACGGCGGGAGCCCCAGAACTCGTCCCAGAGTGGGGCACCTCCCTGCAGACTCCAACCGTGGCTCTCAGTCAGAAAAGTCTGCTTCTGCAACTGGCGCAGCCCAGTTCTTTTAGGACGTGCCCGGTTTTAGTATGTGACCTCCAACCAGCTTTTTAACACGCCCCCTTTACAGGCCTTTTTACAGTGGAACTGTAGAGGAATAAGGGCAAATGCCCTCGACCTCCAGGCTGTCGTCAGCGGGCACTGTCCTGCAGCTGTAGCGTTGCAGGAGACCAAGCTTGCTTCTAGTCACCATTGCACGCTGAAGGGATACGCCCTGTTTCGCAATGATGTGTTAACCGACGGTATCGCACATGGCGGTGTCCTTCTTGCAGTCCACCACAGCGTGCCAGCCAGGAGGTTTAACCTGCGGTCTACGCTACAGGCTGTAGCCGCACGCCTACATTTTAATCACCGTCACATCACGGTGTGTTCTTTATATCTTCCACCTGGCGTCGGTTTTCCATTGGAAGACATGAGACGTTTAGTGCATGAGTTGCCTTCACCATGTCTTCTTTTAGGCGACTTCAACGCTCATCACACCGCGTGGGGCTGTGATAGCACGAACACCCGCGGAAGGATGTGCGAACATTTTATCCGTGACTCGTCACTGTGTATTTTAAACACAGGGACTCGTACTCATTTTACACTGCCGTCTGGTCAGACTTCCGCACTTGACCTGAGTCTTTCTAGTCCCGAGCTGGTGGAGAGCCTCGAGTGGTCTGTGGCAGATGATCCAATGGGCAGCGATCACTTCCCAGTGTGGCTTCGATTCCAAATAAGAGGAACGTTGGGTGTAAGACCACGACGTTGGAATTTAAAAAAGGCTGACTGGAGAGAGTTTGAGGCTCGACTGGAGACATTATGTCAGACCGGAGGTGTGAGGGTGGCACCCTCTATTGAGGATTTTACTCACAGACTTCTAGATTGCGCTAGCGATTACATCCCGCGCACTTCTGGATTTCCTCGTCGCACTCCTGTGCCGTGGTGGACGGAGAAGTGTCGTGACGCAATTCGCGCACGCAAACGTGCTTTCCGAGCTTTTGACGCCAGAAGTAGCTTGGAGAATTTAGTAGCCTTTAAGAAAGCCAGGGCTTTCGCCCGCCGCACGATAAAAGAAGCGAAACGTGAATCCTGGCGTATGTACGTAAGCACGCTCAACCGATTCACACCAACTTCGCAGGTGTGGGCTCGGATCAAACGTATCTCCGGGCAGTTTTCATCCGTGCCACTTCCTGTGTTACATGTTAACGGCCAGGTGGTGACTCATCCGTTGGATGTGGCTAACGGGATCGCCCGAGCACTCTCCCACCGTAGCGAAGGTGCAAACATGAGCCCACAGTTTTTACGGCAAAGAGCACAATCCGAAAAAAACCGTAGTGAACTTTTCTACAAGGCAACCACAGGCGTACAATGAGCCCTTCACTTTGGTGGAGTTGGAGTCGGCAATCGGAAGACTTCGTAGTGTATCGGAAGGTCCTGATGACATCCACAATGAGATGCTCCGACATCTGCCTCCATGTGCACGTCGTGCACTATTGGCGGCCTTCAATAGGGTGTGGTCAAGAGGTGAGTTCCCTCCGGCCTGGCGGGAAGCTGTTGTGGTGCCTATCCTAAAACAGGGGAAGAGTGGGCTGGACCCTCTTCATTACCGACCCATTTCACTGACGTCATCACTGTCCAAGCTCATGGAAAAGATGGTAAACGTGCGACTCACTTGGTTTTTAGAGAACAACGATATTTTTAGTAACTCGCAGTGCGGATTTAGGAAAAACCGTAGTACGGTGGACCATCTCTTAACACTGGACACCACGGTTCGGAAGTCTTTTCAAGAAAAAGCGCATATGGGGACAGTATTCTTCGACATTGAAGCCGCCTATGACACCACATGGCGCCATGGTATTGTTCAAAAGCTCTTTAAATATGGTATACGTGGCCATATGGGTGCTTTTCTCCAAAGGTTTTTATCCAAACGATACTTCCGTGTTCGGGTCGGCAACGTCCTCTCCGACAGGTACGAACAAATAAACGGCGTGCCCCAGGGCGGCGTGTTAAGTGTTGCACTGTTCGCAGTTATGATAAATGATATTTGTGATGTGCTCCCACAGTCGGTCGGACGTGCCCTTTTTGTTGACGATTTTACTATTTGGACCAGTGCAGCGAGAGCACCAGCGATGGAGCGGCGTCTCCAGCTGGCTGTGGACCGCGTTGAAAGATGGGGTGACATGAACGGGTTTCGTTTTTCAGGCGACAAGACCGTTGCGATGCATTTTTGTCGTCGCCAGCGATGTGATGATCTGAGCATCCGTCTATATGGTCGCTCTATTCCAAATAAGGCCGTGGCCAGGTATCTTGGGATACACTTTGACCGCCGCCTTACATATAACGCACATCTTAAAATGTTACGCGATCGATGCTTTAAATCTCTCAACATACTAAAGTGTGTGTCTCGTTCATCGTATGGGGCAGACAGAAGCACGCTTATGCTTTTATATCGTTCCCTCGTCCGCTCCAAACTGGATTATGCATGCTTTGTTTATGATGGCGCGTCTGAATCCAGCAAGCGTGTTCTTGATACCGTCCACCATACTGCCATTCGCATTGCTACTGGGGCGTTTCGCACATCACCTTCCGTCAGCCTTTTAACGGAGGCACACGAACCACCACTTTCGACGAGGAGGAAAATGCTTGGCATGCGTTATGCCTTGAAGCTGCGGCAGTTCCCACTTCACCCGACATATTCTGCAATATTTTCGCGGTTTGCAGTAAGTTCTCTTCGTCATGGGCCGCAGCAGCACGCTTTAACTTTTGGTTCCCGAATGAGAGCGTTATTGCTTGAGAGCGGAATTCCTCTTCGGGGTGTAAGGCAAGTAAGCCGCCTGGCTTCTCCTCCCTGGCAAATGACCACACCCTTCATTGACACCTCGCTTACGGAAATTAGGAAAAAAGACGTCACACCACACCTATTGAGATCCAGGGCAGTTGAGCTTTTGGCGTGTTATGAAGGATATACCCTGACATACACAGACGGATCCAAAACCTCGGATGGCGTGGGTTGTGCTTTCGTTAGCGGGTCCGTCACTCGATCGTTCTCGTTACCGGCCCACTCGTCAGTTTTTACGGCGGAATTAGTTGCAATCACCAAGGCGATATGTTTCATCGAAGTGGGTGAAGAATCTTCACACGCCATTTTTACAGATTCACTGAGCAGTCTCTCTGCACTGAAGTCTTTTTATCCATCATGTCCCCTTTTACAGGACATTTTATCACGCCTGACACAATTGAATCGGGTTGGAAAGAGAGTTGCACTATGCTGGATCCCTAGTCACGTCGGTATCGTGGGCAACGAACTGGCTGATGCCGCTGCTAAGCGAGCAGCGGTAGCACCATATACCCGGTTTTTGCCTATCCCTGCCAGAGATTTTTACCCGGCAGTCAAGACCTTCCCTGAGAAGCAGATTGCAGCGCTGTTGGGACCAGGTGGGGGGCAATAAGCTCAGGGCAATAAAGACAGAGTTGGGCTTGTGGTCGTCATGCTCTCGCAGTGTGCGGTGGGAAGAGGTGGTTTTATGCAGGCTGCGCATTGGGCATACCTATGCCACCCATGGCCATCTGTTACATGGAGCCGACAGACCCCTATGCCAGCGGTGTGGAGCCGTCCTGACTGTCCATCATGTCATTATATCATGTCCATGCCTCTTCGAAGAACGACGACGTCACTTTGGTTCACAGGCTTCGACCCTGACGATAAACGATGTGCTTGGTGACAGTTCCTCCTTTCTTGGTCCCAAACAGCTCTTTTCGTTTCTAAAAGATATTGATTTTCAAGTCATTTTCACACCGTACTAATTAACAGCATAGTTATGGGCGCAAAATGACCACTGCAGTCGACGCGCCCGAAAACTCCAATGAACAACAAAAAAGATGTGGGTCAACATTTTGTTTGTAGGTACATACTGGCTGGTGTAATTTGTGTCACTTATTCAAATGCAAAACTCAAAGTAGTCTTTAATTATTTTGTTCACCATGATCTTAAGGTCAAACGAGGTCACTGTCCTTAGATGGGCATGTGGTCTTTTGCTTAGAGCAGTCATCTGGGTTCCAGGGGACCTTGAGAGACGAATATGGAATTTTACCCCGTTAGACCTGATTTGAGTCGAAGATCATGACCTGGGAACCTTTGACTGAAGTGAGTTCACATGCAGGTCAACACATCCTGTGAATTTGATTTTTCTAGCTCCGTGGGTTTCTGATATCTCGGGGGTCAAATTGACCCCCCCCCCCCCACCAGAGTCGAGGGTATCCAACCGGCCACCTGTGCGCATGTTAAATATGTGTAGCTAATTGATTCAAAGGTTAGACTGAACCAACAAATGTTATAGTGCATTCTCAAAGTTTGCCTGGAACACTTTCCTAATTATCTGATCTTTTTCAGGCGCACACTACTACCATCAAACACAGCAAGCATTGAGGACATCTGAGGATTACATATTCTTCTCCCTAAGCAACCAATTGTCTGTCAGACCCTGCTGATTTACACAATTATCACTGGATAGTAAAGGTCTTGAGCTGCGCACTTCCTTTTTGTGATAACGTGCTCCAACGGTACTGCACTACTCGACCAGGCGTCGGCCATCCCTCTCGGGATACGTTCTTTACCCATTCACCTTCACTGAAGAGAGCGTCTGTCCAGAAGGGAATCTCGCTCACGACCCGCAACTGCTTCATCATGTCCCACAATCCTCAGTGGAATTCGTTCCAGCCGCCAGCCCCGCCCAGCATGAAACCTTACTCCAACTACCACTCGGCCAGTAGCGGGTATGGCGCGTATTCAAGCTCGTCCCAGTCGCCGTCGGGCCCGCGCTACGGCGGCGGCGGCGGCAGCCCGCACTACGCTAGCCAACAGTCGAACGACTCGGTGGGCGGCGGCGGCGCAGAGTTCGACATTGGCGTCTTCTCGGTCGGCCACTTCTCGTCCGGAGCCAAGAACGGCGGCTTCGGCATGAACGGATTCTCGGCCAAGGAGGGGAGCCCCAGCCACGGCGCGCACGGCCTTCGCGAAACGGGCATCATCGAAAAGTTGCTGGTAAGTTGTGTGGTGGTGACTCTGGCTCACTGCCGTGGGCGCGGCCGACTGTGCACGTTTTGCGCGCAGATAGTTTTTTCCAGGTTTTGCTGGGTTGTGAAAAGAAATGTAACGGAAAATCATTATTTGTTATGCTTCGTTGCTAACTGTCTGCTAGTATCAAGTAGGCACATCGCATTTGGATGACACCTTTAGATGTCTTTTAAGACTGCTCAGTACAATTATATGGTTTGGTTGGTGAAATTAGGAATAATTGTGAACCAATTGTCCGGACTTTTTAAACTTCTGTTAAGCATGTCAAGATCATGCTCGCGGTGGTGCCTGCCGCCGGCGGGCCAGGCTCTAGGCTTCACCCGGACACGGCTTGTAACTGAAAACCTGATGTTTAAACAAAATGCACGCGGCCTGCTTCGGAATTTGAGATTGGGCACTTCCAGATGGGTGACTGAAGCACCTATGGGGCCAAACAGTGTCAGAACGGCTCAGTGATTTGTAAGCACCTTATATGGATTTGCAGTGATGATTTGTTGAGGTGTCATAAGCATGATGATTGTTATGTTTGCGATCGCCTTTCATGCAGTACTGCAAGCAGTGTCTTCAGGCAATAAGATGGGTGTGTGTGATATCACTGGAGCCAAGGTCTTCTGGCTGCTGTATTGATGTAAGGTATAAGTACTAGTGGGAAGTAACTATTTAGTGTGGCCAATTTGGCAGATCAATAATCATGTACATTATAATTGGTGGCTCTGTAGGGGGCACCATCTCGCTAGGGCTTATCGCTCAACCATTACTGTCATATGATAGTGCTATCAGTTGTGGGGTGGCACCGATAGGTTGAACCCTTTTTGAAACCAAGGTGGCCAGAAAAAAACTAGATCTGGTATTTCTCAGTGTGTTTTTTATTAAGCCTGTTTGTTTATCTGGGCGTGCCCTGTAAGTGACGGGCCAGTTTGCCCGTAAGAGGCGGGCTGCGAACGATTTCAAATATCGCTTTGTAACACGTCGTCTGCCACATGGCAGTCGTCCTGTTCGCACCACCCAAGCGATATTGAAAGCATGCGAGGGGATTCCCACGGATATCAGCGGGAGCAGTTTGCTGTTGCCTGCCGATGGCAAATATGTTACGGTCGGGTGGAGGCAGGGTTAAACCATTTGTCTGCCATTTGTTGGACGTCGAATGAGACAATGCAGTAAGGCTATATGCTCCGGTTATGAAGTCATCATGATAATATAACTTGGCCACTCCATTCATAATTTACAAGCATGTACAAAAAGTTTTGACAAGGTTGACATCATAGTGTATTGCAAGAACTTGCAGTCCGTGCAACACTTGCTCATCCTTGGCGAGTAGGGTGACAATTTGTTCGTTGCCCTGAAGTGAAGATTGAAGGGATGGGCTGGGATCAGTGTACGTGAACTGCGTAAGCTTCTCCGCTGCTTCATATTGCAGGAATCGTGTCCCCCGGAATGTATGGGTTAGATGGTGCGGTGTTGTAGTGTAGCCGCACTCTTGACAGTGAAGCGACGCTGTCGCGGCGACGGTGCCCTAATTCAGAGTGGGAGAGCATTTAGGTGATTAGCCTACTGGTTGTGCAAGTGACAATATGCACGTATAAATGCGATGAAGTGCCGTGAAGGGAAATCGTCAGCAGTAGCCGTCATTTTTAGGAGGCAGGGTAGACATTTCCTTGCACCGGGTTTCACGGCTCATTTAAGTAGAGGGATCTTGCTTCCGCCGTCCGCGCTCCACTGGGAATTCGTTAGGACCCGGGCCGGTTCCCAAATCACGCCAGCACTGCGGCACTCACCCTGACCGGGCTCTTTTCCTCCTCTGCAGCACTCGTACGGCTTCATCCAGTGCTGCGACAGGCAGGCTCGCCTCTTCTTCCACTTCAGCCAGTTCGACGGCACCATCGAGCACCTGCGTGTCGGCGACCCGGTGGAGTTCGAGATGACTTACGACCGCCGCACGGGCAAGCCCATCGCCTCCAGCGTCTCCAAGATCACGCCCGAGGTGGTGCGTACCGCCGCGATCAGGCTCCGAGCTGTGCACTCGGGCACACATCTCGCAAGCGAAACTTGAAAATGAGCCTGTTCCTGTTTCTCAATCCTTCCCTTCTGAATAGATGCATTTATAGAGTCGGAGCCCACACTAAGCAGTGTTTGTTTCGTCAGCCATTGGTCAAGTCTTCAGCATTGACCCCACGATATGTTCCAAAATTTCAGACCAACAGCAAAATTTGGCGGTGACAGTGTAACGTACCGCTATGCCAGGTTCGGTCCGTTCGCTCCTCTTACGTGCTTGACCTTAAGTGTGGCCCTTGCCACCGACTGTGGGCCATTTCACTAAAGGGCAAATAGCTAGCGTTTTAAACGACTCGAAACCATCCCGCCACTGGATTGGGGGCAGACGCTCTTAAAACTAAGCCCTCGGATGCACAAGTAATGATTAGGATAGGGAGTGGGCTACCAGGGAGTAATGATAGGGAGTGGGCTACCGTGAGGGCATATTTCAAAAAGGAAAAAGTACTCTGGTGAAATCTCGGGACGAGTTGTTTAATAATAGCACTGGGTCTTGTCAAGAGAAGAGTGTGGCCGGGCTGTTAACCGTTGCACGGCGAGAGGTCGTGCGGTACGCGTTTATCGTCAGGCGGTGGTTAAAGCTCGTCTCGACGCTCGCTGGCCGGCTCTGAACGCCGGCCGTTCGTGGCGGCGTCGCGTGCCGCGCCGCGGCTGATGGGCGCGCCGCTGTCCGCAGACGCCGCAGGTGCTGAGCGAGGAGCGCGTGACGGGCACGGTCACCACCGAGCTGACGCCGGGCGCGCCCGCCCAGCACGGCCGCATCAGCTACGAAAACCGCGGCGAATGCTTCTTCCTGCCCTACGACATGGAGGACATCGAAGGCAACGTCAGCCTTCGCGTCGGCGACCTGGTCAGCTTCCAGATGGCGACCAACCCCCGGTGAGCGCCGCCCGCGCTTGGCCGGCCGGCTGGCGCAGAGGACCGCGAGGGACAGCCGGCGCGCCACAGTGGACGCGCCGAGTACTACGGTATATATATATATATATATATATATATATATATATATATATATATTCATTCATAACACACCTCACACGGAAGCGGCACCAGAAGCCAAATGCAGCGCGACCGCGATACTCGTCTCGGGGTGGGGGGGGGGCATTTAAAACGTGCTGCCATTTAAAGCATATATGCTACAGTATTGAACAGGATATGGGAACTTCATCTGTTGGCAGTTTATATGTCTCTGTGCCCCCATCACTCTCCAATATCCCTCTCCAGACATGCATTTTGCGGACAGCGTGTGCGAGTATGTGTGCGTGTCCGTGACGCCGCGACTCGGCCGCAGGACGGGGAACCTGGCGGCGCACAACGTGCGACTCGAGAACCCGGCCAACCCGATCCACTATCAGGGCATGGTGTGCTCGCTGGAGTCGGACGAGCGGGGCGGCTTCATCGAGCGCGCCGACGTGGTGCGCGAGATCGTGTTCAGCTGCGCCAGTGTGCAGGGCGACCGGGCCGTCACGCTCGGCGACGAGGTGGAGTTCACCATCCAGACGGTCAAGGTTAGTGTGGACGGCGACCGAACGCCGGCGGCCTCGCCGGGAGTTTGGTCGTCGGTTACTAATACAGCTACGATTGCGCGCGGTTATGAGCACCGAAAACGCAAGCGCATCGCAATATGGAAAGCAAAGGGAAAGCAATTAGCAAACAAAACAGCTACACCATTCGACACCAGCGACGCTTGTGATTGTAGTGATTGGATGTGTCGTAGAATACCCGACAGCGGGTGACCGAGGCCACGGGATGCGACAGGGCAAGGAGGTGGCAACGAACATCGTACACCTGGAGCCGGGCACGGTCGTGTTCGAGGACATCGACCCGGCGGACGTCAAGGGCCAGGTGCTGAAGGCGCTGGACGACGCGGCCGATAACAACGTGAGTCAGCTGACCTGTGATCGCCCCATAGGGGGGGGGGGGGGGGGAGGGGAGGGCACTCGTGGCGTGGAGCGTCCCGCTGGCGAGCGATTATCTGCACTGACATCAGCGGGACCGGCGGACGGCTGTTGGTGGTTTGCGGTTCTTCCACGGATGCAGTCGGTGGCTGTGGTCGCTCCCTGCGTGACTTCTGGGCGCCCGGATTCTTGCCTTTTGCCCCCATGAATGACGATCTAAAAGACGGATTGCGTTCAGTTATTTTCGATAGAGGATCCGCATATGCCTTTCCACTCGCCGCGCTGGACTACAGTATGATCTGAGATAGTGCATGTTTCAAGTGTCGCGTCGCTCGAGTCGCATGCGGTTTTCATGTCAGGAAGAAACTGCTGCACCACTTCGCGCCACGTGTCCAGAAGTTGTTGCCGCGGCGGGGTTGGATCAGCGGGATGCTGGCTGGGACCGGGAGTTGCACGTTATAGCTGATGAAAGAGAGCGCCCGCTGGCTGATTTGAGTTCCCACAGTATCTCGCAGCGATTGCAGACGCCCTTACCATGTAGTAGTCACACAACAGGTTACCCTTGCCTGGTCTACCAGTTTACGGCTTGAAAGATCAATAATTTTCGCAGGGCCGGCCTCAGCGAGGAAAAAGTCGAAGACAAGTTACTGTAAACGCAAGTATTTGAGTTGATTTCGCGAAGGAGTGATGTTTTTATGCATTTATGGGGAGACATTGCCATGAGTTATAAAGTATATTGGCAAGTGCGAGAGGAAACACTATAGTCGACCCAAAACAAAGAGACCTCCATCATTATTTTGCACGGTGTTTCTGTCATAGAGCATGGTTAAAATGATGGATTTGTACTGACTGGTTGGGAAGCTTGCGCTAGTATTTACCCACGACAAGGTGTGTGTGTATGTTCAGCTGTGGTGCTTGGTCCCTTTACAGTGGAGTCGGGCATTGGTCCGTCTCTCGTGTCGGCTGTCATCTGCATGATGCGGAAACTCGGGAGTGGTTGCCTTCACACCGGGGAGACTGAGTGGTGATGGTTATAGCTGCCTTCTTCATGAGTAATATTGCTTCTGTTTTGTGGTTGTGGGTCAAGTGTCGTTTAGACGGAAACATCAGGCATTCTTCCCGTTCTGCTGGTGATTGTAAAATGGTGTGCCCATCGCGCGCATCATACAGGTGATCATGTGGACCGCTTTGTGGTGTGGCACCTGCCTGGTAATTGCCCCACGGTTTTCGCTGTCATATTGTCAAGTTGAAATGTCATCGCATGCAATGTGCCATATTGGCCAACGTATTCCGCTACCTGACATAGTCGTAGCCTTGCCCGCCGGCCGGCCGGGTCACTCCGTAACTGAAGGGATATTGCTAGCCTCAGCGATGTGACCGGGCTCGGCCGGGCCTGGTGCGCTTTCCATATGGGTATCTTATGGGCAGCTGCTGATCATTGTTCCGCCATTAATCGGTCATCAACTGGTTGTACACTTCTTCAAAAGTTGCGCTCTTATGCTTTGAAGACACTTAAATGCAAGCTGTTTTTTAGGCGACGTGTTTCCACAACGCTACATTATCACGACTTTGCTGGGGTTCTCGATGCGCTTGGGACAAGTAAAGTTTTCCAATCGCGAAGAAGTTGATCAACACGGGTCGGGCGCACGTCTAGTCCTTGACAACGCGGCGGCGCAACTACACGATGCTAGCTAGTACGGACGGCGGAGAAAACGAACAATCGTGCGGGAAAAATGGAGTCGGTGTGCGCAGACTGACGTACGATCGCTTCTCACACCAAGGATCCGCGCCTTGTCGGGCGTTTCGAGGTATTTGTGTACGATCTGGCCGATCTGGGCAACTGGAGCAGGCCGAGTCGTGACACGGGGTGCGTGCAGTAGACGTCTGCAGATAAGTAGGCCACCTGAACATAGTTGGACCCACAGGTGAGTCAGTAACGGACGGGTAGGCAACCAATGACGCCATAGGTGGGCCAGTAACGGACCGGCAGGTAACCAAGGCTGGCACCAAGGTAGGCAGGTAACCAAGGCACCTTTCTCAAAACTGGCCTCAAATACCACGCGCTGTGGCTTGACGGAGACAGGTCAGGCTATGCAAATAACATAGGCGCGCGCAATATGACGTTTGATCTCGTTATGCCCTACGTACTATATAGGGCATATCTATGTCTGAACTATGCGTCTAATAGACACAATAGTCAATAAACTTGACTGCGTCTGTTAGACGCATAGTCCGGTTTATGAAAACCAACACCCTTCCAAAATAGCACCATTTTTACCCAATAGTTTCGTCATAGTTACACCCCCCCCCCCCCCCCCCTCAAACAAAACAGCAACAAATGGGTGCTGTCAGAGTCATCCGCCTCATAGATTAAAGTTTCGGTTCTCGGCCCAAAGTCAGCCTGCTAGTTTGGTAAAGCCAAGCCCCCGACTGAGATTATTCATCGACGCCCATTGCTAGATGATAAGCGCGTACTGCTGTGTGGAACGAGGCTGTTCTGCAGACGGGCAGGCTCGTCTTAACGTGGCGTGGATTGTTGGCGCTGCAGGCCGAGCTGACGCTGGCGGCGCCCGTCCGTGCCGGCAGGACCCGATGCCGGGCCGCGTGCGGTACCGCGTCAAGGACAGCTCGGATGTGGTGGAGGTGCCGTTCGGCGAGCGCGACCTCAAGGGCAAGTTCACGCTTCGCCACGGCGACTGGGTGCAGTTCAACGTGGCCACGGACCGGCGTGACAAGCTGAAGCGCGCCACCGGCATCTCGCTGCTCGAGCAGTCGTTCGTCGTGTCTGGCGAGAAGCGCGAGCAGGGCGTGCTGCTCTCCGTCAAGGAGCGCAGCTACGGCTTCATCCGCTGCGTGGAGCGCGACAACAACCTGTTCTTCCACCTCTCAGAAATGGTGGACCCGGAGCGTGGCCTGCAGAACAAGGACGAGGTGGAGTTCACCGTGGTGTCCGACCCCAAGATCGCCTCCCGTATGACGGCCATCCGGATCCTGCGCCTGCCGCCCGGCACGGTCCGCTTCGAGACGCTGGTGCAGGCGCAGGTGACGGGCACCGTCACGCGCGAGCCCTCCTCCAAGTTCTCACGCTCGCCAGGCCGCGCCGCCGCCTCCGCCAACGGCAGCGGCGACAAATCTCATGAGACGGGCCTGATCGAGCACGAGCTAAATGGTACCAAGGCTACGGTCAGCTTCAGCCACAACGCCACCGACCCGCGGCACAGCCCGCGCCAGGGCGACAAGGTGCAGTTCAGCCTGATGCAGTCACGCCGCACCAAGGAGCTGTGGGCGGCCGAGGTGGTGGTGACGGAGCGTGCCGAGCGGCCCGAGCGGGCCGAGCGACACACCGCGCGCGACGGCCTCGTGCCCGGCTCCATTCACCAGGGCTACGTGGCTGCTCTCAAGGAGAACTACGGCTTCATCGAGACCCTGCAGCACGACCGCGAGATATTCTTCCACTACAGGTGAGTTGCACATCTGGCGCAAGATACGCTGCGTTTGGAGCCGGCCCCCACCGAAGCTGGATGGTAATTGTATCGCTCCGTGGTGTTCCTGTCCTACAAGACAGTGTGTTCATGTGTTAGAGAGAATGCTCCACATTTGGAGATGTGGAATCAAGCATCAAATGTGACGAAGTAAGGTCACTTATAGATGTCGGCATACTCTAGAAAAGATTGCTCCAGACAACATTTCTATGTTAAGTGTGCTCCTCAGTACGTAATTGGTTGATTACGTCATCGTACTTGCAAAACATCGATCGAGAACCAACTGACGGCTGTTATATCTGGAAGGCGTGCTCACGAACGCCAGATGTGAACGACTTGACACTGATACATTTGTTAGCCGTGATCACCACATGGCCAATGGGATGGCAAGATTTGTGAACCACGGTTTTGTGGCGTCGTGGATGCCCGTGTGATATTGAAATAGCCTTCCCCGAATAAGGCTGCACTTCTCGCTCTTGTAGCTCAGAAACTGGAGGGGTTTAGGTCTTAAGAGGGAATGGCGGTGAACTGCACTGAATGATGTTGCCCCGACGATTTCCTGATCACCGGGTAGCTCTAATTGACCTCAGCAGCACAGTAGGCGGGGGCCGCGTCGACGCCTAAAGGGAGTGTTCCACATTTGTATGGGGTTTCGGACTGACAAACTGTATTGCGGATCATTCGGTGCAGTTCACAGCCCTGCCCTTCTTAAGGCCTAAGCTCCTCGCCCCCCCCCCCCCCCCCCCCCCCGGTTTCTGAGCTACACGTCCGCGAAGATGTGCATACTGTTTCGTTTAGACCATTTCCCGGCCGCCCAGGCGTCCTTGATGTCATCATAACGTCACTAAAATCCTGCCATTCCATTGGCCACGCGGCGATCACGGCCAATGAAAAAATAAGTAGATTCGTTCATATCTGGCGTTCGTGAGCACAATTTCCGAAAATAACGACCGTCAATTGGCTCTCAGTGTTGTGCAAAGTACCATGACGTAGTCAAACAATGGCGTATTAGGGAGAATATGTACTCAACAGGGAAATTATGTTGTCTAGAGCAGTCTTTTCCGCTTAAAAATATATCGATTCTTGTAAGTAAGCGTGTTCAGACATACCTTATGCTTCCTTCAATATCTTCAAATTTGGAGCCTTCCCTTTAAAGGTCATCCGTGGAGTTCGAGCTAACTCCAAGCTTTTATATCAGTTATCATTGCTATTTTGTACATTTTTTTGTAAAAGAAAATTATTCATGTTGCTAGTATGTGATGTCTTTTTTCATTTCCTGTATATTTCCGTTTAAGCTTTTGGACAAGGCATTCATCTTGACCAGAAGTATATTTACTAACGAGCCAATTTAACTGCGGTGTACACTCCCCCCCCCCCCCCTTCAACTACTGGTCGCCAAATGCGAAGTGGAAACGGAATTTTAACGCCTATTTTCGAGTGTAATTACGTTCAAATCTAGCATGAAACTCAGCTTGGTCCACCAATGCTTCGTACCGCCAGATTTCATTGTCTTCGTAAGAACTGACAGTCCTACATCCTAGGCTCTGGTCCCGTCATCGGTTCAGTCCAGTGTAGTCATCTGGTAGCCCCTGTCACATGCGCCGGCCATTGGCTGTCTATCCGGAGAAGAGGAGTCCTGGAGGCGTGGCCACGCGTGCGCCGCCGTCGGAGCGTGCGGCGCGTGACGGCCGACCGCCCTGTGTCGGCAGCACGCTGCGCGGCGGCGCCGAGCAGCTGCAGCTGGGCGACGAGGTGCAGTACACGCTGAGCCGGGCTGGCAGCCAGGGCCGCGTGTCGGCCGAGAACGTGACACCGCTGCCGGCCGGCACGCTCTCGCAGCCGGCCGTGCTGCCCGAGACGCTGGACGGCATCGTGGTGCGCCCGGTGCGCAGCGTCGACCCCGACCAGCCCGTGTACGCCGGCCTGGTGCAGGCCAACACCACTGGTGAGGGCGCTGGCCAGCGACGACCCGCCGGCTGGCTGGCAGCGGGTCCGCTCAGTGTGGCGTCGGAAACGGCACGCGGTCTGTGCGGGGTTACGTTACATGCCAAACCGCTCCGGTCAGAGAGGAGGCGCTGACGGTCAGGGTGGAGAAGTGCCTCGGTGTCTGCTCTCATGTCCCGGCTGTAGCGGGGTCAGACCGGCCCCTGTGCGAGGTGCCGAGGAGATCAGTCAGCCACGGCCCCGCCCTATGCTCCGCTTCGCTGATTGCAATAGGTCGTGTACCGTCTGTCGTCGACTGGGTGTGAATAACTGGCTCGCGGGATGTCCGCAGAGGAGGTCGGCACCGCTTACGAGTTCGGCATCACGTCGCTGGCCAACAAGAAAGAGTACCTGCAGGTGGGCGATATGGTTACCTTCCAAGTCGAGGAGGGTGAAAAGCGGGCCACCAACATCAAGATTCACCGGAAACGCCTCAGGGCTATCGTGGATGCCTTCAAAAGTGAGTTGTGCTGGGCTGCTGATGTGCTGCTCGCATGGGCCTGTTTATTTCCCTGTTGGTCATGTGATATTGCGTTGGTGCTATGCAGAATACAGAAAATTTGGGGGGTATTGGTCCAATTTGGAATGTTTAGCATCAGTACCTTCCAACAGTTAATAGACTCAGGGTTGGAACCGATTTTGAAACAGAGCATCCACGTTGCTGGCTGAACATCTAACACGGTTTCTTTCGGTTTTCGGTAAAAGTCTTCATATTAACATTACCAACACGACCAAACATAATGTATGTTTCCATTTAGCAACAACACATTCGCCAAGAAACGCTAATGCACGTGGTGACAATGAGACTCGGCCTCCGCGTGTGACCGCTCAGGAGGTGCCCTGCCTCCGGGTGTGACCGCTCAGGCGGTGCACTGCCTCCGGGTGTGACCGCTCAGGTGCCCCGCCTCCGGGTGTGACCGCTCGGGAGGTGCCCTGCCTCCGGTTGTGACCTCAGGAGGTGCCCTGCCTACGAGTGTGACCGCTCAGGAGGTGCACTGCCTCCGGGTGTGACCGAGGTGCCCCGCCTCCGGATGTGACCGCTCGGGAGGTGCCCTGCCTCCGGGTGTGACCCCAGGAGGTGCCCTGCCTACGAGTGTGACCGCTCAGGCGGTGTCCTGCCTCCGGGTGTGACCCCATCAGGTGCCCTGCCTACGAGTGTGACCGCTCAGGCGGTGCACTGTTTCCGGGTGTGACCGCTCCTCAGCGAAGGCGGAGCCGAGTGCTGACGCCTTTTGTCGGGTGGCCCGCAGACCAGTACGGCTTCCTGTCGTACGAGCATGAGGAGGGCAAGAAGCTGTTCTTCCACATCAGCGAGGTTAAGGACGGCGTGACGCTGCGCGAGGGCGACGAGGTGGAGTTCGGCGTGGTGACCTCGCACCGCACCCGGAAGTCGTCCGCCTGCCAGGTGGTGCGCATCAGGTGAGTGGTTCCGACTTGGCAGCAGGCCGTCCTTCTGCTGGAGCAGCTGGGCTTTTGGCCGCTACGACTGCGAGGCGATGGCGCGCCGAACGTATCTTTATTAATGGGCAGCCTGGCGGATATCCAGTCTAGACAGGAAGTATTTGTTTTCTATTGGACCGTTTTGCCACAATACTTTTACATGGGCTGCTGGTGTTGGTGCCGCCCGATCGGTGCCCGCCCGGTGGCGTCACTGGCTGCGGTCTCGACCCGCTCACGTCCGTCGCCTCGCTGACCGACCGCCGCTCTCTGCCGACCCGCAGCAGCGCCTCCGACGAGAAGAAGAAGAACTCGTTCACGTCGCAGTCTGAGCGGCCGGACCGCGTGATCCAACGCATCCGCACCATGGCGCTGAACGACCAGCGCCGGCCGCGTCAGGTGCAGATCGTGCGCCAGCCGCGCGGACCGGAGGCGGACGGTGGCCGCGGCTTCAGCGCCCGCCGGCCGGCGGCCTGAGAGCCGCCGCCGTCGCCACCGTCTCCGTCTCCGTCTCCGCCTCGGCCTCCGCCTCCGTCGTCTCCCCGCCAGCGTCCTCCGCCCGCCGCCAGCGCTGCCGCCTCCTCCGCCGCCGCCCGCCCACTGTCACAGCGTGCCTAGATTCTGGTCTCAAACACAAACAGTGCTTTCCTGACTGTGATGGTTGAGGGGCGTTTGTAAGTTTGAGCAATATTAATGGTGGGGAGCACGAAGAGCGACTGGGCGCGCCTGGCACTGCCGGCCTGCGGGGCTGCGGTCCGCCGACCCTCTCCTCTCTGTGTCCTCTTTCCACCCCTCCCGAGCGCGCCGGGCGCGCGCGTGCTATCTTCGGCCTTGGGCGCAAGCTCGCACCCGCGGACCTAAACAGGGTCGAGGGCTGGCTGCGGGCGTCGCGTTCCCATCCAACGAGTCTCCCCTCTCTTCCCTGCGTCAGCGCGCGAGCTGGACCGCGCGCGGCGGACCTCTGGCACCGAGCGGCGTGCTGGGCACGTCAGGGCGACCGCCGCGGCCGCCGGCGGTTTCTGTTTATAATTTGTCTTCCATGTGGTCTGTCGCGGCGCCACCGTCCCGGGCCGGACAGCGCCTCTCTTTTATACGAAATCCTCTGGTACAAGATTCTGTGATATTTTGCCGGCGGAGCGCGCCGCCGCTGCCGGCGGCCGCGGTCCGACCCGGCCCGGACACCAGCCGGTCCACCCTGTCCCAGCAATCATTCGCCGCAGAGACAGACGGACACACAGACTCGCAGGAATACCGCAGTCTCGCTCCCCGGCTGAGCTTAGTTCGCCAATCGGATGTCGCTGGTTTTGTTGGCCTTATGACGTGCTGTTGCTAAATAATGCTTGAAATCTGGTTGCTACGCGCCGTAACTGTGGGTGAGGGGCCGCCCGCCCCGTCTCCGAGTGGTTTGTTTCGTTACCCTCTCCGGCGGCGCCGCTGGGGCGTCCGGCCGCGTGACACTGCGGCGCCCGCCGGCGTGACCCGGGCTCTGTCTGCGCCGCCGCCGGGTGCAGCGGCCGCCTTGATGCCCACCCGGCCATCCACACCTCTCCTGCGGGCGGCAGCGGGCGGCGCGCGCCCCACGGGCCCCGCCGCCCGCCGCCGCCGGCAGACGCGACACGACTGTGATTACGTTGCTTCTAATGTAGTAATATCAATACCGTAATTCCAAAGAGAAAAGTCAGAGGTGGGTGTCGTCAACTGAACACCGCGTCCCGGCTCGTCGGCGCCGCCGGCGCGGGCCAGTGGCGCGCTGTCTGCGCGGACGGAGCGGGTGTGCGCGACTCGTATCAACTGTAACCGCAGCCATGCTTTTTGCGGCCGCGGGGTGCGCGACGCGCACAGCGGGCCCCGCGGCCGGTCCGGCGATCCCGGCCTGTCGGCTCGGACGGAGTGTGGGTTTACTTACGTCGGGGTGCCGGGGCGACTGCAACGCATGACTGTGAGCGTGAGCGTGAGTGCGACGCCTGGCGTTTGTCCGGCCCGTCCCAAGAGCTGGGAGGCCAGCGCTCGCGCGAGCGCCGCACCCGAATACTCGAGGGAACAATGGACAATATCGAATCCGTCGGGCGCGGCGTCGCCGGCACCGGACGACGCGACGGCGCCGGTGGGGCGGCGGCCCGCCGGGTCACTGCTGCGGTCGACGACAGCGCCGGCACGCCGCTCCTGACGAAACTGGTCTGGTTCACGCGACCGGTGTCTGAGACGCGACCGGAGACCGTGCCAGCGCCCGCGCGATTATCGTGGCCGTTCCTTTGCGTGTCGGAAATGCAAAAATGAACTTGTTTGTTTCGTAATTTGTAACCTCAAGTCTGAACCAATAAAGCTACTGAATGATACGTTTTTCCGTGGTGTCGGTCGGAATATGCCTGTTTAAACGTGTGTCACTCGGCGGTTCCATAAGATTTAAGGGCAACCGTACCGGATTTTCTCACTGCCGCCCCAGACCTGGTCGGCCTAGAAATGCTTAATAGTGGAACTGGCGCTGTCAATGGGCAGTCGGTGTGGCGGGAGTTTGCCTCAACGTGCAATCGCTTTACGCATTTAAGCGAAATTTGGGAACAGGCTCGCGCGTTTGCTTCTCGCCGAAATTAACTATGCGCTTTCCCACAGCTCGCGAGAGTAAACGGTGTTGTAACTGATCCACATAGGTAGCTAACACGTTGCGCAAGACGGCCTCTGTGTTCTTCACAAACATCTGCTCCCTCAGCGTTAACCGATCTGATCACTATGAAGCCTATAATGCTCCTTTTACCACGCGTGAACTCAAACTGTCCCTGGCCAAATACGGCAGCAAAATATCGGTAGACCCAGATGGGGCGTCTTTCTCGTCCTTCTACCAATTCATCTTCATTTTAGTAGCTCGTCAACGATTTCAATCGCTGTCAACAATATGGACCAATCGCACTTTCCCAGAAGCATGGCTCCAAGCACGGTCATTCCAATCCTGAAACCCGGCAGAGGTAGGCTGTTCACGAACTCATGTCCAATATCGCTCACAAACTGCCTGTAAGGTCTGGAAACGAAAGGTCAGCGCACGTTTGCGATGGTCCCCCGAAACAAGTTAGCTGTTTGGCACTTCAAAGTGGATTTCGAGGAAACCATGGTACAACAGAAAACATCATACGTTCTACGACAGATAAACAGGCCAACTTGGATCGACAGTATTCAACCGTCGCTGTGTCTCTGGACATCACACCAGCATTTAACAAGGTCCATCGTTACACCATGATCTGCAAGTTGCATGTTCTTGGCCTCAGGGGCCGCTTAGCCCATCTCGGTAATTTTTTTTTACAGACTCGTTCCTTCAATGTACGCCGCCAACCCATGGTATCTGACGTACACCAAATGGAGCACAGGGTTTCATAAGGTGGTGTACTTCCTCTAACGCCGTTTCTTATCGTCATTAATGTTTTTCCGGCTCCCCATCGCCCTCTGATGTATACGATATTCGCTGTTTACTGACGGTTTTGCTATATGGAGCTCACATAGAGACTGTCAAGAGTCTTTCTCAGCTTTAAAAGAAACAATTGATCATTGCATGAATTGACGCTCAGAATGGGCTTCTTTTGCTCCGCTCCAAAGTTGGCCATGCTCATTTTCAAACGAGTTCTCCTACCGTTACTGGCCGTCTCAACAAATTTGTGACATTCCTTTACCATTCTACAAGCCGCACAAGCTTCTGGAAATAACCCTGGACCATGGGGTTAGGAACAGGGGGGAGAGGGGGGGGGGGAGGGCAGGGGGCCATGGCCCTCCACTTTTCACGATGGGGAGCCAGCAGTGTTAACTGCCCCCTCCCCCACTTTTCAGATTAAGTTTGTGTTTAGACTACTTTCGCACCACATCTAAACATGCATGCCGATTTACCTAGTTCACCAGCCATCTTCCTCAAGATACGTCATCTTTTTCGTTGCTTATTGGCCATCGCTTAGTGTCACAGCCGCGGGCCGACGCCGCGCGGCCTATCGAGACCGCAACGCCAGGCGTTCAGGCTGTTGTTGCTATGTCTCGTGAGCGCGTATGTTCGAAACCATATTACATAGTTTTTTATCAGTAATCGATTCTGACTGAATCTTGAGCATTTTAAGACGAACATGGATTAGCCATGTTAATACAAGCTTAGGACCCTATTTCATCTACGACCTACGTCAGGGATCCCTCAATATTTCTGAAGAAAACAGAAAAACACGGAACTGGAGCCTGTGTGACAATTATTAGTCCACCTTTGGCGATCAGGGATGTTGTTGCGTCAATGAGGGTTCCTGTGCTGATCAGGGGCCAACTGCGCGAGTCGAAAACCGTCACGTGTCAGAGAGGGGAACAATGTGATAGGATATATCCTTCCAGTGGCCTCCGGATCGACCAGGAGATCCCGCCCCGCGTCTCTAGAATGACAGCCAGAAGACGCTTCGCGATGGGACGGAGTAGCCCTTCAGCTCTTGACCGCAACCGGTAATGTGCCCTTGGTGTTCTACTCAATGTGTCCCGTGCCCGGAAGCAAATAAGGGCTTCAGTATTGTTGAGTAGAGTGGAGGTCTCATTATTGTTGAATAGAGTAGGTATATTTTTTAACGAAAAAGGCCATCCCATGTTTGCCTACCAACGGTTATTTTTTCAGATTGGATTAGTGAAAAAGTGCATCAAAAGGTTTGAACATGACCGCCCGCAACTTCGAGAGCAAGGATAGCGATGGTCTGGGTTGCAGTTTCCGTGAAACCGAACGGCGTCGGTCACTGCAAGTGTTACCAGACGTCGGGCGCCGTGTTAATCTGTCTTCTGGACAGATTATTAGTTACAGAAACACGAAACATAGAGGATCTACACCTTTAATCTTCCAGTTCCACCGCCGTTCACCGTTCCAGTTCCAGCATGACTTCGCGGTGCTTTAATGGCCAATCTATTCTTATCATCAGTATAAAAATCGCACACGTGACGTATGCGCCCAGCTTGCCTTTTGATGCAAGATTTGATTCCCTGAAGCGTTCAAAGGTACTTCTTTCAGAAACGTTATCATTTTCGTCCACCCGTTGGCCACGACTCATTGTTAGCTTTTAAGCTGATTCCGTCACAAAACTTTTTACTAACCGATTCAAGTGTTTAAAAGTATTTATTTCAGAACCTTTATCATTCTCGTCCACCGGTGGACCATGACGAAAAGTTAATCACTGAGTCGGCGCTCCGCGGGCTATGGAGACTGTAACGCTTCGTGTCGAGGTTTTTGCTGCTAAGATTTGTGAGCGAGCATGTTAAAAACTAAGTTATATGAATTGTATTACTAATCCATTCTTAATGACTGTTAAACATTTCCAGACAAACATAGCTTGGCGATGTTAATACACATGGTTAACCACTCGATCTACAATTGAAATTTTCACCCTCAAATTTCGATCAAACATATCGATCTCCAATCGTCCTTCGCGATGTCTAGAACGCAGATAAAACATTATAAAAAGGCTTCTGAATCCTATCGGTTTAGAAAGAGTCCACTAAGCTATGACAAATTAAGGACAGCGGTGATGTATTCCATGCGTTCCTTAAACGCCTGATTTCTGCGGTTTATTGACCTTCATACGTGCTCAGGTGGGGGGGGGGGGGGGGGTCAAATTGTCTCGCCCTCTAACGTTTTTCCAGAATGGTTTCCGAATGGCGCGGCGCAGACGCGCCATTGTTACCACCCGAGCGAATGGTATCTAACCGGCCACCCGGGCGCGTTGCAATTTAAACAGAATTGATTTCAATTTAGCCTCATGTTTCTGTTCTGGTTGTAATGTAAAAATAACAATGAAACTGAGAAAACTGCATCCATTGTGAACAAGCAAACTATGTTCGGGGATACTTTTGCGGGAGGGATCACCATAAAGGGGGCTTTTGTCAACTCTGTGTTCCTCTTAGCACGGCTCTGGCTACCCACAAGAGCAGCGAGAAGCAGCACACAAAAGCAGATCAAGTCATCTACGTTGAATGACGGGCGTTGACATCCGTTGGCCGATTCATACCTAAAGTAGGCAGCTTCCCGGCGGCATTTTTCAGGCGTGGTGTGGTGTAAGGAAAGATAATTCGGAAAAAGGTATTATTGTAGGTGTCTAACACATGTTTTACATCCCATATGGTAGCAATGCTGATCCAGAAATGTGCAAAAACGGCCATACCATCATTTCGTGGTCAATCATTCGGAGGCAGTCGTGCCAGGACAGTGGCCACCGACGGCGGACGGGAGCAGGGCTCAGACAAGGAACATATGACAGAAGGGCCTTCATTCTGTGGCTTGGTTTTCAAAGGAGAATCTCCAGTTCTATGACTTTTCTCATCTGGCTTTTGGCAGTTTCAAGCTCCCGAATTTGTTTCCCCCTAAAATGCCGTGCCAACTCTTACCTCTTGAAAAGCAGCCAGCGAAATGAAGGCGCATGCAAGATCTGTTGTACTGTGAGCCATCGATTCTCTTTCAAAATTCTCACCAGCCTATGCTCAGGCCACATTTTGGCATCTACCCTGTGGGGACAGATGCCTCCTCAATGAACCAAAATGCCTATTAATGCCAAAATGACCAATTCCCGCTCGTGGAATTTCGCCCCCCCCCCAGGAAAGACAACGTTGAAATGGACGATAATCTTTGGAAGCTGGATAGCCTTACTTCCCGAATGACATGGATGAGTCGGATAGGCGAGAGTGTGCACCAGTGAGAAACAGCTCTAGATGCATACCTAGAAGAGCAGTCATTACATTTGAATAAAGAGCGATAACCTCCATCTCTACCCCCTCCTCCCGGTCGCCGGGCTTGTTTTCTGGAAAACTTCCTTGAGTGTGTCGTGAGCTTGACCCCCCCAACACTTTTTGAAACGTTTCTTAGCCTATGCACTGGACTCGCGTCTAATCTTCCAAGCACACATAGAGGATGTCAAAAATCGTTGCTTAAAACGACGTAACGTCCTCAGGTGCCTTTCTGGTCATACCTGAGTGCAGACCGAAATACGTTTGCCACACTTTATATAGGTCTCATTCGATCAACACTGGGGTATAGCTGTTTCATATTCAGCATTATCTCGGTCTACCTTTTCCAACGTTTGGAAGCCATTCAATCAGTCTGCCTGTGCCTGATCTCAGGGGTCTTCCGTACGACCCTAGTTCTCGCCATCCGTGCTGACACCAGCCTGCCAGCGCTGGCAGACCGGCGTTATTTCTTGCTACTTCGGTACAGCTACATACATCGAAGCGTGCTAACCCGCGCGGCATGCGCAGACCTTGAAACCAATAGACCGCACCCATACAGACAACAGCAGAGGTCGCGTTTCCTGCCCGACGCTGTTAGAGACGCGACGAGCTTTTGACATCCTATGTATAAGTGTTGGTCGTAACCCTCCGTTGACGCTTTTCTGGCTTTACAATGATTTATCAATAGGGTATCAATTTAGACAAAAAATCGGAATTTTCTGCCGCTGAGGTACAAACTGTCTTCCTGGAGTTTGTCACCACGTACGCCGAATCCGTTTTCTTTTACATTCATGGGTTTGTCCGTGGTGACCAGGTAGGTGCAACAGCGTGGGTACAGACTTCCGATTCACCGGACGACTTCCAGACTTCAGCACGGTGTCTGCCACGGTGTTTACTGCGGAAGTAAACGCTATAAAAAGAGTGCTGCTACATATCAGAGTCAAACATATTCCTAAGCCTACGACATGCACATATTCCAAGGCATCGCTGCAGGCCCTTCAGCGACTCGATGATTTCAACCACCCGGGAGTGTATGGCATCCGTAATATAATGCTTTCGCTACCTGCCGACCAACACGTGACCTTTCTGCGGATACCGGGACATTGTAGCATCGCGGGAAACGCCCTCTCCGACCCTCCTGCGAACGAAGGTGTCCGTCTAGCAACGCCTCTAGAAGTGTCTCTGGTATTCGGCGATGCTCTCCATTTAACTAAAGTACGTTTCGCTTGGTGTTTGCGGAATCGGTGGGATGTTTCGCATGTATCGAATCAAACCCACACTCCAACCATGAGCGACTTGTCATCAGGAGAGCAGGCAGAGTGAAGTGGTCTTGGTGCGTTTGGGATCTAGCCTCACTCGTCTCACCCACAGTCGCCTATTCAATGTCCGGCTTACGGTAGAACACGTATTAGTTGGATGTGCTGCTCTTACTTGGGAATGTCGCTATGTCACGAGTCACTAGTAGTTAACACACTGCCTCCCCGCACCCTCGAAACGCCGCTAGGCGGCAATGATCCTGCCTTAACCGATCTTTTTCTGTACTTTGTGATTGAATCGTCATTGGGTACGAAAGTATGATGGGAACTGATTCACCACGAGATTTTCCTAGCCCCGTGGTACGTACGAGTAATGCTACGACAAGGTAGGTCCAGCACCCAAAGTAGCTAAGCATTTGCTCACGGTTTCCCCCACATCTATGCAATAAATTGTGGTCTTCAAAGACGGTCCTAGTTGACCATGTCTTTCGTATTGCCTAGCCTATTAAAGGAATATTGCGAATGCGTAGTTTTCCCACGCTTCCCCCCTCTTAAGTGACCTCCAGACTTATTTGGGATGAGCCGGTTTTTGCGCAGGATTAGTTACGTAGTCCTGCTTTTCGCCCTTCGTGAATGACGTAAGTTGAAGCCACTTAAAAAGTACTTTGGTAGCTTTGAAGCACATTTTTGCTTGCAATGGAATTTTCATATGTGGCGGAATAAACACACCTTGTACACATTAAGTAAATGCAGGCTACTAAATAATACGTGTTCTTAAAATTTATCTCAAACGTAAAAGCGCTGCTGTAGAACTCATGTAACGTAAATTAAACGGAAAAAATTAACAAATTTTAGCGCCTTGACTCCTTTTATTCGTAGTTAGTTTTGTCTCATATCGCTATGAAAAGTGGTTAACGCCAAAGGATTCACTTCTGGCGCAGACAGACCCTAGCTCCGTCGACAACGTAATGGGTGTCGTGCTTGTAGTGGCATGTCCTGGTTGAAATTTCGCCTCGGACGGTCTGAATAGGCAACCCGTAAGCACAGGCGCCGTGGGTACAGCACTAGCCGGTGAGGAGCGATGCGCTGTGGTTGCGGCTGCAATGGTGCCGTCGCTTGGGCCCCAATTGAGGGTGCATGGAAAGTCAAAGTAGCGCTCTCTGTTAAGATCAACGAGATGCTGAGTAATTTTGGTATGTTGAAGCGTCTGGGTGCATACGTGGTTGTTCATACTCCAGTAGATTGGTTATATATTGTCTGTCTGATGATTGCAAGTGCACGTGTAGTTGAACTATGTCATTAACAGTTGCTGTATCAATTCTCTTTGCCCTTAGTACCATGAATGTTTCATATCAGGAAGGGATCTAAATGCAATGGTCTCAGGACATCTGCATGGTAGTATATTTGTGGATGCTACATTGCATTACATCTGTATGATAATTGCTTTCATAATGTCCTATTCCAATAGCAACCTTTCCATGGGTCAATATATTTTTGCAATTGTAAAATATACATATTTAGGCATATTAGCAATTGACTGAATGTCACAGTGAGCATCCTTTAAGGTAGATGCTCAATTCTAATAGAAGTTTCAAGTTTTTCACCTTGAGTGATGCATTCAACCCATGTTAATCCATCAAGCAATTTGTATAATTTGGTGTACTTGACCATCTGCTTGTTAAAAAGATTCAAACTTTTTTGCGTGTGGACATTACATGACTGCATGGCCGAAGCAGCCTAAAGCCTCAATTTCTGCTACTGTTTCTTGTCAGCTATATGTATTAGGTGCATTTCTTTTGTGCCCTGTGGCATAAGTAAAAATGGATGATGGCCATTTGGGATTGTAGAACTAATACAATTATATAGGTTTTGCATGCAGTATTGGCAATGCTTGACAAAATGGTTAGTCTAAGCTTGTGTTTGGGCTGAATAGACAATATGTGGGGGCTAACTTGGTGCAGGTGTTGTTGGTGCACCTGCAACCAAAAAGTTGCAGGTGTAAAGCCTGTTTTCTGGCCAAAGTTCTTGTTTCCCCGCACCTGCCACATACATTGCCTTTGGAAATTTCAACTAAAAATAACCTCAGTTTTAAATGCATATTTAAAGCTCAAGAACAACAGCAATAGTGAGCTGAGGTCTAAAAGAGGGGAGTCCAAAGCAGCCATTTGGTAAACATTGGGTGTAGTCCTGGGGACACTGCCATCAGCAATAGCCCCAGCACCTCTATCATCAGCTATAATCCTGTCCCCCTGCCATTGATCATAGCACAGCTGTCCTGCCATCAACTGCAAAATTGCCAGCACTGCCATTGGCCATGACCCTGGCAGTCCTGTCATTGGCTGTGACACCTGCGGCCCTGTCATCAGCCATGACCCCTGTGACCTGTCATCATCCACAAGTCTGGCATCCCTATGATCAGCCGTGACTGGTGGCCCCATCATCAACCACAGCACATCAACCTCTGCCCTCCCCTTGGTTGTGCCCCTGTAATCAGCCATGACCCCTTTGTCTCTGTCATCAGCTACGCCCGGTGGCTCCTCAATCAGCCATGACTGGCATCCCTGTCATCAGCCTCAGTCCACTGGTCCCGGCGTCAAATACGGCCTCTGGTGTCTCCGCCATCAGCCATGACTCCGGTGTCCCTATCTGTACCACTGCCTGTCAGCAGTGGTCCAGTCAAAGTCATGCCTGGGTGTCTTCATCATCAGCCACAACTCTGGTTGCCCCGTGATCAGCCGCGACTCCGGCGCCCCCATGGCATCTGGGGCCCCTCTAATCCCAAAGATTCGTAGCTACCCACTATGTTTTATAAAACAAACCTAAAATGAGAGATAAGTAGCTGTTTTTGTGGTGCTGTGATTTCCTAAAATGCAACATGATGAAGCAACTGGGAAGTTTGTAGGTATTCATGAAAGCCTTTGTGTTGCAGGTTACCAGCCATGGATAGCATGGCTCCCGGCCACCCCATCAACACATACAATGGTGAGGAATACACACAACTGATGTCCTATATGCAAAAGGTTCTGGTCAGTACATATGTATTTGTGTGGTGTAGACGCTGTTGTGTGGGTGGTCAGTTAATAAAAATAACTTAATGACTGCAAGACCCATGTGTAAAATGCAGGGCCATCAGCATCGCCATCTCGCCCAGCTGGCGAGCAGGGAGGGGCGGTGCCGGTAGGCGTAGGTGAGTGCTGCAAACGAAGTTGGAGGATGGTCAGTAAATTTATGACACTAAGACGGCCGGAAGACTTACACCTAGGTGCCATGTTCGTTTCCTTTGCCGCCTGGAGGAAATACCTGCGATATTTCAAAACAGTGAAAGAGCCTATGGGAAAAACGCCATGGGAGTCAATCTTGGATATCAAATTCCGAGAGGACCAAGCGTACTGACAAGCTTAGCTCACTCATCACGGCACAATATAAAACGGGGACAAAGGCAGCAACCACACAAATCTGGAGAGCATGCTGTAACAGTGAACGTGTTCAAATTGGGAGCGATATGTTGATAGGTCTAACTTTTGAAGGTCGGGTTCGGTGTAGTCGTCGGCCGAGACGGTCACCAGTCACGCGGCGCTGCGGCCGCCAGGTCTCAGTGAGGACGACGAGGATGACGAGGAGGATGAGGAGGAAGTGGCGGCCGCCGACGGTCCAGAGGAGGACGCCAGCTCCAGCGGGGACGAGGCCGAGGAGTGCCCGGTGCCGGCCGCGCTGCCGGTCGAGCCCGGCTGTGCGGCTGAGCAGCGCGCCGCCGGCCTCTCGCGGGAACTGTACCAGGGATACAGGTGAGGCACCGTCGGGCGACCACGTGATGCTGCGCTCCCCCGTCCCCTCGTTATGTCAGGTTACCGGGGGGGGGGGGGGGAGGGGAGGGAGCTGGGGAGGGGCAGGATCGCCCCGATGCGGTGCGATACTGGTCCCCGCCACGAGATGGAGCTGGAGTACCACGGATAGGCCAAGGACGAGCGCGAAGTGGTTCTTATGCCTCCTAGCTCATGCTGGAGATGTTTTTGTGCTTCAGGCATATAACCGAAATATCATTGTGTCTATTTGTTCATTCTTCTGGTTATTTTACGAGGAATAAGTTTATTAACGCCGTCCTATCTTAGTAACCAGCTAAGCTTGTGCAGGCCGGCCCGACCATTTTTAGTCGCGGACATTTGTGCGTGTCTGTCATTCGCTTATATTGCCCGGTCGTGCCACGGATTGTGACGCTTCAGAGTGCTGCGGGAGTTGATGTCTGCGGCGAATCGCACTTTCAACTGGCCGTTCATGAACGCTGTGAACGCCGAGGGCGCACTGTGGGACTACAAGACAATCATCAAGGAACCCACCTGGCTCAAGAAAGGTAATGTACTTGCAGTGTCCCAATACCGCTCTGCCGGCGTTCACACTCGCATTATGCAGCGCGCTGTGTGTTGTAGCAGCTTCGGTCTAGCCTCTCCCGAACGTGTCTTTGCAATGTTGCGTGACGATAGTGCTGTTGTCATAGTTCAAACCGTCGCGGGTCGCCACCTGGATTCTACCTTACATGGACCAGCCGTTCCGTTGCACTCCCTGTGGCGTGCGTGCGGCGGTGACTGTCGCTGCTCGGAGCTGGCGGCGGCTCGGTGCCAGCCGGCCGCTGACGGACCGTTCGTGCCGCCGCCGCAGTACGGGACCGCCTGCTGGACGGCGCCTACGCCTCACTGACGCCGCTGTTCCGCGAGCTGCGCCTCATGCTGCGCAACTGCTACCGCTACAACGGGCCGCAGCACAGCATCACGCGGCGCGCGCTCCGGCTGGAGCAGACCATGGAGCAGCTGATCGACCAGATGGAGCCGTGAGTGGAGCGGCGGGGCGTGGTGGCGGCGCGGTGCTGAAGAATCACGCATCAGGAATTATCGAGATCGAGAACCGCAAATCATCATCAAGGATCACGCCCGGCCGAGCCGGGCGTGATTTTGGGCTTAGCCTCGCTAGGGAGAGGGGCGGGGGAGGTAGCGCCGGGGAAGTAATGCCCGCCGACGTGGCCGACGATCTTAGCCGTCACTTCGCCTCAATTGGTCCGAAAATCGTGGGTGCCGGTAGTGTAGTGTACTGCCGGTAGCGTACTGCCCGTCTGGGAAACCAGAGGTACAGGGTTCGATTCCCCGCGGTGCCCGCCCTTCCTGCCAGGATGAGAGGCAGGCGACGCCATATAGCCTCAGCTGAGTGCGTCGTACAACCCCAGTGACATGACATGGTCCAAAAATCGCGGCCGAGCTGAAGGCGCGCAGCCATGGCGTCCCGCCTCTCCCTCCGAGACCATCGTGTCTAACCACAGACCGGCTAGTTGTATACCATGTGATCTCGCCCGAATTTTCGAAGGCTGTGAGTGTATTGTCTTTATTTAGAGCTGTTGGAGTCGGTGGCATGCCGCTGCTTGCGCCGAAAGCTTTTGCTGGCACAGGACGTCACCTATGTCATGTGGTCAATTCTTCCATCGTGACCCGGGTGGTCACCTGTGCTTAAAAGTTAATTTCGGTTCTTCCACTTCACAAGTCCGGTGCACGTGACGTTGCCAGCAATGTAAGGTCTATGTCAATTTTATCTATATTTCCGAAAATATCCGAAAAGGTGGTGGACTGAAACTGCTGACTGCTGACTGCAGCTGCGGCAGGTGGCGAGAGGTGGTTCACTATTCCTCCCCCTTTCCCACGGTGTCCCTCAGAGGTCCCTGGTGGATCCATTCCTTTTCAGCATCTTCACTAACGACCGTTCATCCTACCTGCCCCCGCGCGTCTGGTTTTCCTCACCGGTGATGCCTAACTCCCTGATTCCTTCCATCCACGACCACTTGTCCGCCTTGAAATCCCGTCGGGAGTAAGCCATCCTTGCCCTCCAATCCTACTTCACTGTCAATTCCCTGAAGATGAACCCTACCAAGAACACCCTTGTTCTAGTCGGCACGCCCCAGGCCATAAAAAAACCACCTTACCAAATCCTTCATCTTCATCCTTGTCCAACTTCATAATAGCCCCTCGCCGTCCGTGATGATGCTGGGAATGACCGTCGATGGTACCCTGTCCTGGAGGTGTGCATATCTAAATTAGTAAAATGGTGCGACTCTTTCCTTTTGCCTGTGCAAAATTCGTCATCTCACACCCGAAGCACGTAAGCTTCTTACCCAGATCCATATTTTCACCACATCCTGTACTGCCTCTCAGTCTGGAGCGGGGCTGCTACCTGCTATTTCGGCCGGGTGCGGAGAAATCGGGAATTTCGCGACAAGCATCGTCTCGGAGACGAGGGGTCCAGATCATATTTCACCGGTCTTAAGGGCGCTGGGCTGGCGCGGGGTCAATGACCTTGTTACGTGTCACGACCACATTGGCGTCTTCAGGGTCCTAAACGACCCCCGCCTGCCCTAGTGGCGGTCTGGTTGTTGCTCACCTTTCGGACCGCTGTGAGCGCATCACGAGATAGGCGGTGGCCGGCGCTTTGGAGCTGCCCCCTTCCCGGCTGTCTATGGCGCCCAGGGTATTTTCCTAATGTGCGGCCTCGTTCCGGAAACACCTGCCGCCGGCCGTCATGACCTCCCGGAGCCGTGCTGCGGTCACGTCTAAACTTGACCATTGTGAAAAGAGGATTCTGTTTAACTTTGCAAGTCTTTCTCAAGCTCTTGACGTGTCATCATCAGCGCCGCATCTCCGTTTTTATCGCATTTCTTGTAACCCATTGACTCGGATAAAACATTAAGTCATACATATGTAACAATCCGTAGTATATGCATGGCATGACATGAGACCGCTGTTCGCCGGTCGGCTCCGACCACGGGCGTCCGCTGCCACGCAGCGGCTAGGCGACGTCTGACGATTCTTTTCCATTGGTGGGGTGCGCGTATCTCTTTTCTTTTTACCACTTCCAATTTGATAGCGCCAGTTCTAAATTGGAAACCGTGTGTTTTAGCTTTACCAATGGCACGTTTCCGATTTCCTTGCACTATTAGCTCCAGATGCATTGAAGGCCGTATCTGTGTGTGTGTGTGTGTGTGTGTGTGCGTGCGTGCGTGCGTGCGTGCGTGCGTGCGTGCGTGCGTGCGTGCGCGTGTAAAGCGTCGTCATAAGTATTGAACATGACAAAACACCAGGACCATTGGTGTGCTTCTATTAAATCATGATCTCTACCACCGGAAGGTATCCGATATGGAGCCTGGTTGAGGCGGTCCGAAGGGTCGTGCTGCCCCTTGTCTGGCGTCGAGCCGCGCGTCCGGTGTCAGTGGCTGTGGCGCGGTGCTTACGACCGACGTGTCCGCCCACAGCGACCTGCGTGACCAGTGTACCCTGGAGGCGACCGAGGGACCGGAGGCCGTGGTCGACACGTCACTGGTCAGCCGGAGACGCTCCGCTAGGGGCAAGAAGCGTGAGTGGGCCGGGTCGCCGCCGGGTGCTGACCTGTGCAGCTGTCGCTAGATCAGGGTTGGGGGTGGTGAGGGTCCGCTCTGGCTCTTGGACGATGGTCTGGTGTCACCCAGACCTCGTCGACACGTTCATTGCTTTGCTAAGATACGGACAGGCATATCTTCCATCTGCTAACGTCCTGACTTATCCACATGTGGCAGTCCAGTGGCGTGGACCATTGTGCTGAGTGTTGCCCACGCACTTCTCTTATACTTGGCACTCTCGTGGGCCCATGAGCCAAATCACATCGCCGGTGGACGGCCGTGAGCGGTGCGCATGAGTCTGTGACCTGCCTCTCTGACCCACTCCCTCGCTCTGGCAGCCACGTACTTCTCACACGTGCTGCACGCGGTGCGCCACGAGCGCGCCGAGCGGGAGAAGGCGTACCGGCGTCAGCAGCTGGAGGCGCGCCGGGCGCGGCTGGAGCGCCGCGAGCTGCGCATCGTGCAGTGGGAGGCGGCGCTGCTAGCGGGCCGCCACGGCGACCGGCTGCGCGCCATGTGGGAGGTGAGTCACCGCCGCCGCTGCCGCTGCCGCTGCCGCTGCCGGCCAGCCGCAGCGCTGTGCTGCCGCCGCACCGCTGGCGATGGTAGGCCAGACGCTGGGGTGGAGCGGCCGCACGGGGGGGGGGGGGGGGGGGGGGGCACCGGCACGGGCTGCCAGTGGACTGCAGAAAGTCGATTGTTTGTGCGACGGCGCTGGGCTGGCGCGAGCACGAGCTACCGTCACGCTGCGTTGCGCAAGGGCTCGACAATGCTGTCGGGCGTTGTCGAGGCTCGGTGCTCTTTGAAAGCCCTCCGTGGCAGGCTGCTGCACACTGCCTACCGGCGCGCACCAGGATGCGGTTTGTGTCGGGAGCAGGCTGTTCACTGTGTAAACGGGACTAATCATAAGATCAGTGTAGGTCAAGACAAGTTTTCAATCTGGATCAGGGTGAATCACAGGCTGATTAAGCTGGGGATACTCAGGGTTAGATAGCGCACGTGACGTCTGGAGGGTGACCGGCCGTCCGTGCTCCGTCAGTTTCCGCAGCTGGCGCAGTTCGTGCATCTGAGCCTGCGCGCCCTGAACATCCTGGAGGTGCCGCTGTACGAGATGGAGCGCATGCTGCTGGTGCCGCAGTCCTCCGAGACGCTCGCCATGTTGATGACGTCATTGGTCAGGTGAGTCACTGCTGTCATCACGGATGTTGCTCCCACGGACCGTGGTCAGACAATCGGCAGATACCGCGGGCTTTGGTCAGACAGTGGGCAGATTGTTGTCAGCGATGACGGCTGCTGAACATTTGCGGCATCACCGTTCGTGATGGTAACAACCGGCACACTAGCTGATACCGTGTTGCGAAATCGTGTTTTGTTTATCTGCCGTCTCTCGCACGCCAGCTGAGTCTGGCGGTGACTGCGGAACCGGCGTGTTTGAGCTGCGCTGTTCGGGCCGTGACGTGGGCTTTTTCGTGTGTCCAGCTCGCCGCTGGTGCGCATGAAGCTGGCCGACCTGCCGCCGATGCCGTACCACATGTGGACGGCCAAGCTGGCGGCGCGCGTGCAGCTGTGGTACCGGGCGTACGCCCGCGAGCGTGGGTGCACCCAGCGCCTGCTGGAGACGCAGGGCATCGAGCCCACCTTCTGGCAGGTGGTCGGCACCTCCAACCCGTTCGAGAAGCGGCTCTTCCACCAACTCAGCTTCTACGAGCGCGTCTGGATGGTCAAGACCATGTGCGACTTCCTCTTTGTGAGTATGGCTGGGGACAGAGCATTGTTCGGAAGTGGCTGCTCTTCGTGGCGTTTTGGGTTTGGGGTGTGACTTAGTCGTTACGTTATCGTGACATATGTAAAAGAAATGGTTTTTAAATGTAAATGCCTGTGGGAATTCAATTCCCGTAGTGAAATGTTGGAGAGCGCAAAATGACCTCCATGTTGGCGCGCCCTAAAACGCCAACTATCAAGTGTAGTGTTTGCTCAGATGTTACTGTGCCAAAGTTAACGACAGGTAATGATTTCGTTGAAGCATTTGAAAGGGGTTGACCGGTGGGTCATGCCCTTTCAACTTGAAGCGAGTTAAAGTTCGGCAAGTAATCAAACGAAACTTCCAGGTGGCTCGACCATGATAGATTAACGGTTGTCCTCGCCCTGACGCCGACCCCTGCGGCCCACAGCACAGCCACAAGTCTCTGCAGGACTGCGTCATGGAGGCGGCCACGGCCGAGCCGCGCGAGACCGTGGTCGGGCGCGACCGGCACGGCTTCGAGTACCTGCACTTCCCGCAGCTGCTGGTGCGGGACGTGCGTCTGTACCGCCGGCGGCCGTGGCGCGCGCCCGAGCCAGATCACGGCGGCGGCGGCGGCGGCCCGCCCGCTCCCGCCTCGCCGCCGCGCCTGGTGGCCGCCGGCCAGCGCTGGACCAAGGCCAAGCTGCGCCAGCTGCGGCGGCGTCTGCTGGAGCTGCGGCGGCGGCACGGCGGCGGCGGGGGCGGCGCCCCCCGTCCGGCCGCGCGGTACACCTGCCTCAGCCGCGCGACGCCGGCCGGCTCGGACGGCGAGAGCAGCGCCTCTGGCGGCGAGCAGGAGCAGCAGCCGGCGGACGCCGGCAGCGTGCGTGACGTCCAGGACGGCGACTGGCGTGCGCCGGTCAGGCTGGCGACGGGCCGCGGCCGGGGCCGGGGCCGGGGCCGAGGCCGGGGTCGCCTCTCCGGCTCCCGCACCGGCTCCACCACGCCGAGCACGCCGGTTAAGCCGGCCGACCCGGTGAGTATCTGACTGGTCGCGGGGCACGGTGCCGGCCGGAACAGCGGCAGACAAGCGCTGGTGATCGCCCGTGGGTCGCTGCTTTATGGATTTTCTCCCAAAGCCCACATCGGCTGCACTAGCTCAAAGTGGAACGCGTTTCGGGCGGCGTTCTCGTTAGTTTTGTCTTATGTTAAGGGGATTATAAAAGCTTGCAATTTTACCTGGTCTTATAGCCATTTTCTTTGATACTTTGGACGCTACAGGATCAATAGATCCATGTGCTGGTCTTGTGGCGTGACACTGGAGACGAGCATGTCTGGACGATGGGAGTACGCCTGGTTGTTGGGTTTTGGAGCATTGTCACAAAGCCTTGCGATGTCCTGATGATCATTTGTTTGCAGAACTCGTGTCAGTTTTGTGGGCTGTCTGTACGCAGTGAGCGCGCCCGGAAAGCTCACCGCTGCTTCCAAAAGCAGGTGAGACATTTGGTGCTCTTTACGCCGTTTCTCTGACGGTGACGTTGGTTCTGCATTTGTAGATATTATATCCTCACTGCCAACGTGCCTGAATGTTGTAGATGGAAAATGGTGCTCGAACGTGCCCTATACTGCACATCGAACGTGCCTCCGCAGCCACACTTAATTTGACCGTCCCGAATCCTCACAAGGCTTTGGCCAGATTCCTGGTGGCGGTGTGTGACAGCGACATCAGGCGCGCGGCGTCGCGTGCTCTGCCCGAACGGCCGCGTGGATCGCTGTGTTGACAGAGTAATGCCTCACACTGCACGTGCTGACGGAGTGTTGTCCTCCCACGCGCAGGCGGCGTTGCAGCTGGAGGACGAGGAGTCGGCGCGCTCGCAGCGTCCGAGCCTGGCCGGCCGCCGCTCGCCCAGCGCCGAGTCCCTGCCGTCGGCGTCGGCTGCCTCGGAGCCGGACGAAGACACGAGGATGTCGGCCGCCGACGAGGACTCCCGCCAATGGGACGACGGGGACTCCCGCATGTCCGACGAGAACGAGTCGCGTATGTCAGTGGCCAGCGACGAGGACTCGAGGGTGACGAACATGGATGGGGAGGACAGCGTGTCGCACCTGCTGGAGGATGACGAGAAGCTGGCGCCCGTCAAAGCACCGCCCACGCCTCCAGCAGCATGCCATGCCGGTCCTCCGGCGGTCACTGCGGACGACGACGGGAGCTGCGGGGCCGCCGCCGGCCTGACGAACGGTCAGCCGGAGCCGGCAGTGCTGACGAACGGGCCGACAGCGCCGGCCGGCAGCGAGCCGTGCCTTGGCGATCGGACCGAGCAGGGCGCCCGCGGTGACAGGGCCAGCCCGCCGCACGGCGAGCGCCCCGTCCGTCGGCACGGCGTGTCAGGGCCCGGAGGAGACGCGCCACCCGAGGGCGGCCACGGTCCGCCGGGCGGGTCGGAGTCTCCCGAGGTGCCATCGACGGCGGCCGGCGACACGGGCCGGGCCGCCGAGCTGGGGGAGGAGCGTCCGCCGGCCGTGAAGACGTGTCCCACTGACGTGAAGCCCAGTCCGGACGGCGTTAAGGCGGAGCGGGGCGTTGTGAAGTCGGAGCCAGACGTCAAGGCCGATCAGGACGCCGTGGAGTGCTGTGTTGATCGTGTGAAGGTTGAGCATGACGGCGTGGAGTCGAATCCAGACGGCGTGAAGAGCGAGAGCGACGCCGCGAAGCCGAATGCGGAGTCGGTCAAGGCAGAGCAGGAGCCCGTGCAGCCGACTCGGCGCAGTGCTGGGATGGACCCCGACGCCGTGAAGCCGAGTCCGGCTGGCGTCGGGCTCGGGATGGACGCGGCGCAGGCGGAACCGAACGGCGACGGGGACCTGGGGCCGCCGCTGTCGGTGCCGGAGCCGGTGGCCGAGCCGGACCACCTGGCGTCGCCGGACGCCGATCAGTTCCAGCTGGTGGCCGACTCGTTCGACGCGCTGCGCCGGCTCATCGACTCGTTCAGCCCCGAGGCGGCCGAGGCCAGCGCCGGGAAGAAGGTGCGTGCGGGGCAGGGCCGAGTGGCGTGTCTCACGCGCCGCACGGCGAGTTAGCAACGTACGGGACATGCTCTTCCGGCCGCGCCTTGCCGTGGCGGTCCGAGTGTATGGTCGCAGCAGTTCGCGGGCTTCGAAAGTTACGCGCAGGGCCATGGCGATGCCGCCGCTGGACTGCCACGAACTTTGTGCTTTTCGAGCAATGCGTGGGCTTGCTTCACGGTGGTCGTTGTTCTGCCCCAATGGCGCCATGCATCCGCTTCGCGCCGTTAAGCACCAAGACAACTGCCACACAATGCCCGGTGTTTGCTCTTCTTGAGGGATGGTTAGCATGGATTCGAAAATTCTGCCTTGTGTGATGTCAGTGGTTAGATGCCACAAGATCGTATTGTTGTGTGAACTGTCTCCTGCTGGGTGTGGTGCGGTGACTGCTGTGTGTGTGGCTGCCACAGCGGAAGTCGAAGCAGCCCCAGTGCGAGGTGGAGCTGCACGAGGAGTTGAAGAAGATCCTGCAGGAGCTGGAGCCGCTGGAGGCCAAAATAAACCAGTCCGTCCGACGCATGCGCAAGAGGCTTTGTCAAGAGTGGTTGAGCTTCGTTAGGAGGTAAGGGACATATATCGGTTGAATTATGGAGCAATGACTGAAGCAGCTGGAGCTGATTGTACACGATTTCGCACTTGCCGTACATAAATGTAATTCTTAAACATAAACAAAATTAGCTGCCTGACTGCTGTTTCCCCTTGCTGATAACGTTATGGCATGCAAGGACAGTGTCGTCTGCGGTGGAAGTCCCTGTGTGTGGTATGATGGGATGCCGATGTTTTGGGAGATCTTACTCCGATCAGTGCTGGTAAGGGGGCTGGCGTACGCGGTATGCAGAAGTTAACTGCCACGGCATAGCCGGCACCGCCTCCGCCGCACTCCGGTGGGACGTCGTTTCCTGTTGTATGCTATGACCACCGTGGTATGCCGTTGTTCGGAGCGAACATTGGAATCACGATCAGATCGAACCTTGAGCTGAATTTACAATGTCTGTGTTGTGGCGTGGTGTGCGGTGTTGAGGCTGCTCGCGTCGGTCGCCGCTTCGCCAGTGTCCGTTATCCGTCTTTATAAAAACCTGGCCTTGTGCCTGTAATAGAGCTTGGCCTGTTGACTGTATCAGAGCCGTCGTGTCGCCTGTATCTGAGCCCGGCCGGACGCCTGCATCAGAGCCCAATTTCGCCTGTATCAGAGCTCTCGTGCCGCCTGCATCAGAGCCCTCGTGTCGCCTGTATCAGAGCCCCGTGCTGCCTGTATCAGAGCCCGGCCTGACGCCTGTATGAGAGCTCAGTTTCGCCTGTATCAGAGCCCTGGTGTCGCCTGTATCAGAGCCCGGCCTGACGCCTGTACCAGAGCCCAGTTTCGCCTGTATCAGAGCCCTCGTGCCCCCTGTATCAGAGCCCTCGTGTCGCCTGTATCAGAGCCCTCGTGCCGCCTGTATCAAAGCCCGGCCTAAGCCCGGCGCCGCCTGTGTCTGAGCCCGGTCTGACTCTCAACCCATACGCTGCAGACCGCCCGACTACCGGGACCCGGGTGAAGCGGCCTGGCGCGAGCCCAACTCGGAACCGGAGCCGACCCCACGGCGACGACCGCCGCCACCGCCGCCGCAGGAACCCAGCCCTCCGCCGCCCTCGGATGAGGACAGCTGCGACGGTACGACAGGGTGACGCCCGCTCCCCGGGCAGGGCAGGCTTCTGACGATCCCTCCTCTGTTTTGAGATAGATTTCTGGCTAATGTGGCCTTAGCTAGCATGCAAAGGTTACATGGGAGATGATAATTGGCTGCATTTGTAACAGTGGTCCATATATATATATATATATATATATATATATATATATATATATATATATATATATATATATACATGAATGCGAAGTGATGCCACACGTGTTGCGAAGCTTCAATAGTTCTGCTAGTCATATATTATGGTTTTATTGTGCTGTAGCACTTTGTATGTTTAATGACACTTCGCAGTCCATGTGCTCCAAACTATGAACATTAGTGTCGATGCAAATGTTGAGGATGTCTGCACAGCTTGTTGCCAGTCGGCGCCTTACCAGCCAGGGCGTCCGCGCCGCGGCGCCGCGTGTCTAAACCTGGCCTACCCTGTCGCATCTCATCGCTGACGAATCGGCGGACTGAGCGGGGCGTGCGTGTCCGCAGAGGAGGGCCGTCGGCGGCAACGCAGCAGGCGGGTCAAGCTGAAACGTCCGGCGCCCGGCCAGCGGGGCGGCGAGCGGTCGGCCGAGCGGTCGGCGCGAGCCCTCCAGCCGGACAACGGTCCGCAGGTCAGCTCGCGCGGCCGCCTGCGCAAGGTGCGCAAGATGGACGACTTCTCATACGAGGCGGACGAGCTGGCGCCGCCGCCGCCTCCGCCACCGCTGCCGTCGCCGCCGGCGCGCCGGGAGCGCGCGTCGCCGCCGGGCCGCGCGCCGTCCGCCACCGAGCCTTCGCCGGCCTGGAGCAGCGACGTGGCGCTGCTGGGCGGCCGCGGCGACCGGCTGCGCGCGCCGCTGCCGCTCAGCGCGCGCCGACCGGCCGGCTCGCCGACCCCGTCGGCGCGGCTGGTCCGGCCGGCGACAGGTGCCAGCCCGGCTCTGCCGTCTGCCGGACCGGGCAAGCGGCGCTTCGTGGTGCGAATGGACAAGGACGGCCGCATGTTCATGGAGCAACTAGTGGGTGGCGCGGTGCCGCCGACTCTCAATCGTCTCCCACTACCACCGGGACGGGGCGTCGCGCCCGGCCCGGCTGCGCGGCGTTTCACTGGACCGGCGGCCGAGGCCCTCGAGCCGACGCCGAGCGGACGGGACGCCGCCGAGCCCGACTCAGACGGCGAGGCGTCGCCGCCGCCGCCGCCGTCGCTGCCGCCGCAGGAGGAGGAGGAGGAGGAAGAACCCGCCGCGCCCAGTTTCGACCCGCGACCGGTGGTGGTGGAGCCAGTCCACGTGCGGTCGGTGCCGCTGGACCACGCTGACCTGCTGTTGGCCGGCGGCGGCTCGTCGTCGCCGTCACCGCCTCCGCCGCCTCCGCCGCCGGCGCCCCGGGCTCGGCAGCCAGGCGCCGTCAGGCTCGCCCGGCCGCCAGTCCGGCCGGCCGGTGTGCGGATGGTTCGTGCGCCGCTGCAGCCCGGGGGCCTGACCAGGCTGGTCCGTCCGCAGCCGAGGGCGCCCGGCGCCTCGCGCATGGGACGGCCACCTCTGCGCCCGGCGGCTCCGGTCAGGGTGTTCCGGCCTCTGAGACCTGCCAGCGCCGTGAGGGTGGTCAGTGTGCCTTCCGGGCAGGCGCGGGGCGCGGCGGTGATGGCGCCGGCCGCCAGTGTCATGGTTTCTGTTGCCAGCGTTGCGACTCCGGCCGTCAGTGTCACGGCTTCTGCTGCCAGTGTCGCGGCGCCGGCAGCCAGTGTCGCGTCACCGGCAGCCAGTGTCGCGGCGCCGGCAGCCAGTGTCGCGGCGTCGGACCGCCAACCACATGCCGTACTCCCCGGATATCGCAGCCAAGGTGAAGATGGTGATGCGGCAGCTACAGTCCATGAACGTGGTGCTGACCAACGAGAAGGCGCAACAGGTGGCTGTCCGCATCCTTGCGGAGGCGCAGAGGAAGAAGGCGGCGGCTGCCTCTGCAGCGCCGGTTGCCAGTGTCGCAGCTAAACCCACGCCCAGTCCGACGGCGACGGCCGTTCCGTCAGAAGCCCCAGCGGCGGCCGGCTCTGCCTCCGGTCCGATGCCGCTCTCCCTCGCCAGCTCGACACCGACCGCCATCCGGCCGACGACGGTGTCTGCGGCGGCGGCGGCGGCCGACGGCACCAGGACGGCGACGGCGCGCCGCATCCCCTGCTACCGGCAGGTGGCCGGCGCCGGCTCTCCGCGCCTCACGCTCGTCAGGCCTGTGACGCGTGTGGTGCGCGCCGGCGCGGCGCCAGGAGAGTTGGCAGAGCCGGCGGCGGCGGCGGCGGGATCGTCCGAGGGTGTGACGACTCCGGCAGGGTGGTCGGAGCCAGTAGCGGAGCCCCGGTGGATCGTCAGAATCGGTCGCGGCGGCGAGCGAGTTGCTGGGTCAGGTGGCATCCGCGAGTGGAGCGTTCGATCCTGTGATTGTGTGGGAGCCGTCGCCAGCGCCCGGCCTAATCACCGCCGCGGCTGAATCGTCGCCGAACGCCGTCGCCTCCGCGGTCAGTGGTGACGTGGTGATGTCTGACGTCGCCGAGCAGCCCCCTCCGGCTGCGCCGGCTGCGGTCAATGTGATGTCGGTCACCACCGAATCCAGCGTCACCAGCAGCGTGGCGGAGCCGGCGGTCATCCGCCAGGTGGAATCTCCTCCGCAAGCCCCGCGCTTGCCTTCGACCTTGGCAACCGCCACAAGCTGCCCGTTGGCGCCCTCCTTCACTGTGAACCACGCTCCGGTGTCTGCAGAGGCTCAGGCCTCGCCTCCGGTCAACGCCGTCATTCCCAATCACGTTGTGACATCGCCATTTGTTCAACCCCCTGCGCCGACGACATTCGCCAGTAGCAATGCGGTAGACGCTGCCGCCGATCTCGACCGTGGAGGGACGCCTACGAAAGTCCAGGTCCCCTCAGTTCGGTGTGCCACGACCAGCATTCCTGAAGCACTCTCAACGGCTCAGAACTCCCTGCTGGCGTCCTCCTCGAACCACGTGGCGTCGTGCTCAGACGCGAGTCGGGAGGCCGCGACCGGCGCGGCCAACCACGGAGCACCTCCTCCGAGGGCGGCCGCGCCCGGCGCCGCCGCCCAGCAGGGCAAGATCGTGATGCTGCGCGGCGACGGCGAGCCGCGGCTGGCTATCCGGCTGGCCAGCGGTCAGCTGGTGCCGCTGTCGGCCCAGCAGGCCAGCACCGTACGGCAGGAGGCACAGCGGCGCCGGCGCTCGCTGGCGACGCCCGGCGCCGGCTCCGACGCACGCTGATCACGCCCCGGCGGGCGTGTGAGCGAAGCCGGCGCCGGACGAGGGCGGTGCGAGCCGGCTCCGGGGGCGGGGCACAGCTCATCTATGGGGGGGGGGGGGGGGGGCTGCTCCGTTGTTTCGTGGCTAGTACGATGGGTGATGGAACGTGGCAGATCTTGGGAACGGCCCTGGGGAAGCGGACAGCGGTAACCAGTGATGCATTATGACATGTTTTGCCCAGCACAGCGGGGCAAGTCGGCAAGCAACGTTTCGGGAACGTTCCCGATTGGCCCGTCATGACACAGGCGCTGAGCGACGCACTGCCCAGTGTATGGGCGGCGGTGAGTCGTCGCTCGCCTGATTCACATGACCAGTCACGGTGCGCCGCAGTGAGTGCCTGTTGTGGACGAGGTCAGCCTGCTCCGCATATCACATGACCCGTTGTGCGTGATGACTTGATCGCTTGGTCGTTTCGTGCTGTCTGGTCGGTCGAGAAGGGCTCCAGCGCCCACGGTTCGTTGGCGACGCGAAGGTGATGAGTCATGGACTGAAGTGTTTTAGTGGTTTGCTTTAGTCACGGTCTTCAGTTAAGCGTGGTTGTGTGTTTCGTAGGAACCTTTCTTACTAGTGTCCAGCCGGCGAGTGAATGACGTACCTGCAGCACTATTTTTGGCAGCATTAATAAACCGTCTGTAGATGACAGCGCTGGGAGAAGTTGGTTCGACTCAATGACAGCAGATGAGTTTCATCCGCTTCTGAGCCGAGCGCTGGGTGCCATGGTTTCAAGGACGAAAGCACGGATGGAGGAAGCGCGTATGCCTAAAGTACACACGCAATTGTTCGTTAGCACATTGACGTAAGGTATACAGTTCCTATGACAGAAGTGCGGATATAATTGCGTAAGCGTGCGTTTGTGTGATAGCAAAGAACGCACTGACGAAAGTCAGTGCTAGTATTCACAAATTTTGTCAGGACAAAAGCTCGAATGGATAGAGGAGGCACGCGGTCGTTCGCAAGCAATTGAACGCGCAGGTGCTCGAAGTGGATAAAGTTCCTTTGCCATAGTACGTAGGTTAAGCTTGTGAGCGGCATCGACGTACGAGGGTAGGGCCGCGGGCGCGCTTCACTCCCGAGACTGAAGAACATGGAAGAGGTTGGCGATACGCGGATAAAACTGATCTCAGGATGGTGGATTGTACTTTGATGAGGAGTGCTCCCTGACATATTGACCACCAGGTTGCCAAATTATGGGCCGGCAGCTCTTCGATTTCGCTGAAATTTGTCTTCCGTGGATGATTCAGGGCATGAATTGGAGGCAGTGATTTCTAGCTAGTCCGGGGTACGGTTGAAAAATTATTTTCTGTAGCAACGTTTGGGCCGGTTGCGAGCAGAGTCCTAATCAAAGGGGACGCGTCAAAGCTGGTCAAGCTGGTGCATCATTCTCCCTGAACGATGATTCACTCCATATCAGCGATGGCATAACGGATGCCGCTGGCGCATCTGCCCGCCATATTCCGCAAGCGAGCGGATTCGTCGCGTCCGTCAGCTGGCGTCAATGACGCGCCCACGGGCGTCAGGCGAAGTCGTCAGCAGAGATGTCGTCGGGGTGATGAAGAGTGGGGGAGCGTACCAAACTCGGTGGATGATCTGCTGTGCATACATCTTTTAGCCCGGCCGAATGTGAAGGAGGGGGCAAAATTGACTTCCCCCAACGGTATTTTGACCACAGGTAAAAAAATGAACGCTCGAAGCAGCACGAAATTTTCAGCACATGTTCGTCAATCAATTAGCCATCCTTTTCGCAAATTTATACTTTTGACGTGCCAGGATCAGTGACCTAGATCAGGTCAGAGAGGCTAATCTCTTAAAACTGACCATACGTAACTTTGTTGCGGGTTACTTGCGATTGTTCCAACTTGCTGTAGTAAAAGAACATGATAGTACGTACAGTTGGCTTATTTCAGATTTTCTTTTTTAGGGGAAAGGTGCGATCTGTTTCCTATCGTCATCTCAATGTCTGGTACTTTGTCGTAAATAACGAAAATTTGTACGTATTTTTCTGTCATTTTGGTACTTGCATATGAGGTAAAGAGTATTAAGTCACACTGCAAAGCCATCATATGACTGCAGAGCACATGACCTTGGCGCAGGTCTTGACCTGCCTGTATCGGTATATCCGGCAAAACACATGCTGAGCCCAAAATAGTCTGCTTTCTAAGGTAATCTTGTATGCAAAGTTCGAATACTCCACTGAAAACATGCTGTGATATCAGTCTGATTCCATAATAAGGTCGCAAGAGGTCACTCAAGAGCATGCAAGTGTCATCAGCGTCATCATCATGCAAGCGAGACAGTGTGATCCAATGTCAGTGACCTATGTTGCCAGTAGTGGAGAGGCTAGATGAATAAATCCGACGCGCTTTGTCACCCCTTATCGTGGTTGTGAAGCTGACATTTTCATTTGCCAACGTGCCTGTTCTCAGTTTGTTACAAATACATTGCCAAGCGTCGAAGGGACTATTCATAATGTAGCCACGAGCTATACGATATTGAGCACGCGCACATGTACAATACACCATTTCTGACCACAGAAATGCATTGTACTGGTCATATAGACCCTGTTAGCGCTTCAATTTTTCATTTGGATGGTTATTGGATTTATAAATTGGACCTAAGTTGACCTCCGATGTCTACGTCAGCATAACATGGCATTTTTGTATCTAGAATCCTTTTGAATAACAGCCGCAACTACTAAAATAAACGTAGTCAGAAGCACGTTGCAAAAGTATCGTTCTTGTAGGCCATTGGTTGAGTGCTTTTGAGCGGTGACCTGATCTGACCTAACCCTTGTGGAGGAACGCAAATGATCGGAATGAACTCCTCACAGGCACAACGCTTATTTAGGTACTATAAATATTCGTCTTGACGAGTTAACATGGGTTTAATCGCATCTATCGGAACGACTGATTTTGTCCTTTAGTGACTTCTAGTAATATTATATTTGGCCTCTTGTCAAAAACATTCATGCTTCATGACACGACGAGACCCTCGCGACGGTACCTGCGTTTTTTCATACGGCGTCTTGAAGTTGGAGATCCCAGGGGGAAGTCAACCTCCCCCGGCCGGGTGCGGTTGTTTCAGACTACCGGCCAGGCGCAGGCTAAACCTTCAATCCCCTCCATTCCAGAGTCATCTCGCTAACCCCACATGATTCCATTTCATCAACTAGTCGTCTCAGAACGTATTGTTCATGTCATGATAGGTTAGGTTAGTCATGATGCCTGACCTGACTCATGCAATTGTCACCGCCCACCGCTATCCCTCGCCCCCTCCTCTCCCCAGTTGACAAGATGTTTTGGCCTCCGCAGTGACCATTCATTGGACACATGGCACCAAGAATAAATATTTGCATTCCAACGTTCAGCACGCATCTATATCGTCGAGCGGACCTCTTACCTAGTCAACATTTTCGTACACGCTTTGTGTATTACATGATGTAACATATCGTAGTACGAACCTTTGCTTGTATTCTTTTGTGAAACTAACGTTATTTTTAGCTTACATTCGCCCTCGGACATTCATATGCAAACAACTGCTTACGACATTTCTTCAGACGCACTGTTGCACGTGCCCACATTTTCGTCGCGATTTTTTCCTGCCGAACACTTGCAAACCATGCGATCTTTATAATCTTTTTCCTGATGATTGATACGATTGACCACACGTTTTTTTCCTGCCGAACCGTGTGATCTTCATCCATACATACTTTCCCCCAATTACCCAATCTACCTTTTGCCATTACGAACTTAAGCTTTTACAAACTTGATACCCAACCTTGTACTTTATCCTGACGAACATTAGGCATACGTACTTTATCCTCTGAACTATTCACATGCGTACTTTTTCTACACGTGCTTCTGTCCGCAGCCCGGTCGCCATGGACACATTTGGGAATCTTGAGTGTAGTCCTCAGCACAGGCTAATGCTGC